CTGCAGTTTCATACACGTAGCATCTCTGACCATCTTGTGGATGTAAGTGTGAGCGAGTGTGGATGTGGGTGTATAGTCGCCTATTAGCAAATTGACTCTAGTTCCTTCAAAGTCTTATGAAAACAAGAGTTATCATATACCGTTCGATGCGCCTCAGAAAGCTCTACAACATGGTATACCAGATTGAGGAAAAAGTTTGTGCACCGCGTTACTATTATTAATATTATAACACGGCGCACGAACTTTTTCCACAACCTAATATTTACCCAACATGCCATATTCATCATACAGTGATGGTTCCCATTTGTTGAAATGAAGGTATCGTTTTAGTTAAGGATGTTACAGAATACTGATGAGCCGTAGTCATACAATACATTGAAGATATTGTCTGTCTTTAATGGATATTCGCAACTCGTTGCTGTAACATAAATCATCATTGCTTATTTTTCTTTTATTTATAATTCTATTCTTTACCCTTTTCATAATGTTCTCGCACAACACTTTCAAAAGAAACGTTTTCATGTGATTTCATATGCAGATCTATTTTCATATTTGCTTAAGAACTTGAAGAGAGTATTGAGATGACAATAACAATTTACTTAAAAGCGCCCTTCTCGAATCATAGAAATCTTTTTCTTGAGTTTGTTTGAAGATAAAAACATGTGATTGTGTTCGTAACAAAGACAGCCATCTCTGATTCTAGTGGATGAGTTGAGTGACTGTTCGATATGCGCTCAACACTGCTTTTAGCTGACACATTTACCCGTCATCACTCATTAACTCGAATCATTGATATTTTCAATGAAGGGAGAAAAACCGTAGGAAGCATTGAGAAGAGGAGAACGTACCTAATTGCAAAAACGATTTTTTGGTACTATTCTTATGAACATCTCCTGAATCACTTACGAACATAAACAAAAGAAAGCTTGATAAAAACTTTAATTGACTTTTTAAGAGCGGCAAAGAGGAAGAAAGCATTTACTAATAGATATCATAAGGGTGATGTTTCCAATTGTCGACAACTTCTAGGCGACAAAGAAGTACAGAAACAATGCTGTCCAGAGAATCAGTCGAATATCTTTCGATGTCATGACCATTTCATCATCACTAATTGGGCCAGACCAATCACGTAATCGACTCACACACCCAACATCGACGACATTCGGATGATACTTCAAAACACTTTCTCCAGTAATTGTATCATCATGTGCTGTATACCAATACGAGGCACCCATGTTCGACGCCGGAATTTCATCAATTTTGTCTAATCCAATGTAATGACCTGTCGCATTGTCGATGTACAATATAACAGGAAAGATACCAGCAGCGTCGATGGCGTTACCTATCCACGCTTGTGCAGCGACTGGTTTCATATCTCCAACGCCCCATTTCTTCGTGATCACCCATTCACCAGCATAGTCCAAAAATCGAGAGTTGTAATTATAAACTTCACATTGGTAATTACATGCTGACGACCAGATGCATGTGTTCGATGTGTAGTCATACAAGAAAAAGCCACTCGCGTTGAAATAATAGTATTTCGTTCCTGCAGTGCAGATGAGTATTTGATTAACATCATCCATAATCCATACTGAATTCGTCACAAAATCATACCTTTTGATGCCGAAGATTCCGTAGCCTGTGTTGCTTGGGAAAGGATTGGCTAATGCGTGTGCACTGATATCGTTATTAGGACATTGAGTGGTGCTATTTCTTTTGCAAATCTTCAAATAGTCAGTGGATTGAGTTGGAATTCCTCCATAGAAAACGTGTCGTGCAGTACCAAACGGAGGTTGATTGTCGACAAGAGATGAAGGTGAAGGAAAAGGTGTTCCCGAAAGGATGACATTGATTGAATATAACTTATTATCCAGAGCGTTGATGTGCAAAACGACTAAATGAGTGTTGTTCTGTGTAGCACACCCTGGTGCAACGCCGTTGTAGCCCGATGGTGGACAATGATAGTTCAAGTCACGATTGTCGATGGTTCCTAGAACAGTTAATGCAGCTATTTGTGCATAGAATGTTTGATTCGTGGTTGGATCTTGATAAGTTGTATAGTTTGTTACCAAGAAAAAATGAAACAGTCGGTAGTGGTGGTGTTGTCTTGTGTCATGGCGACAGTAGTTTGAACACATGACGATGGAACTCGTTGAAGATAGAATATGCCATCACAAGTGACTAAAGTGAGGAAACAAATATAAAATTATACTGAAATATTATGGATGTATACGAACTGAAGTTGACAAGGAAAATATTGAAGAATAGTGAGGCAACTACAATGCAGAACAGCATCTGTATGCTTTTAGTTTTGGATCGAACGAAAATATAGCGATTCACTCCAATGTGGATGCAACGGTTTTCACGTTTTTCTTCGTCCTATCACATGTGTATTAATAAATGAGACCAATTAAAATCTTCACCTTGTCTATTTCATCATGTGACTGCTTTCTCTTTATGAGCCACGGGATATGAAAAAATAAAAACGACAAATTGCTTTTATGGTACTTAAAGAACAAGATGAGGAGAGAGCATTACTTCAAAGTGAAAACAAATTATTGAATATAAACTTTGCCAACGAAATATTCTGTCATTTTTCATGAAAATTACTTCCAGTGAATAACGTTTTTCTTCAGAGTGAAGATCTTTCTTTCAGACTATTCTGAAACATTTTATTATCAAGCATCTCATCGCGGCTCCTTCTGTTGCTCATTTCAAATTTCGCATATCTTGTTCCAACAGATCTATATATAACTATATACTGTTACCATTCATGTTTCCTTAGCCTATGCTTTCTTAGTATCAAAACACTACGTATTAGAACAGAACTGACGATTTCTATCTATATATATGCTTTATCAAAATATTTATATTTCAATATTATTTTTCCAATCGCTACTTGTCTCAGACACCTATTCGATCCGTGTTGGCTCAATATCAAATGCCATCTATCTCTCAACAAATGACACCGATTATACTTACTCTCATATTACTTGTATGCAGTGTAGTTGTTTAGCTTTGCGTCTCAATGCAGTCGGGTGGAACTGTAATGATCGATGTCAAATGATCATGAACTATTCTCAGAACAACATTGGGCTAGTACACTCAAGCGATACAACATATTCTTTTCTGATTATTCCTCCTAAACAGCCAACAACATCATCGTCTACGACAACAACAACATCATCATCCACGACGACAACAACAACAACAACATCGTCGTCATCCACTAGAACAACATCATCGTCTACGAAAACAACATCATCGTCATCCACGACAACAACAACAACATCGTCGTCATCCACTAGAACAACATCATCGTCCACGACAACAACAACAACAACATCGTCGTCATCATCCACGACGACAACTGCAACAATACAAAGTTTACAATCAGCTCAAATCTCCCCCGGATCTTTAACGATAGCCTATTGGACGATGTACTCGTACTCTTATCTAGCAACGAGATCAACAACTGTGACTCTTAAATTTGCTTTTCTAGCATCTGTTTCTTACGCATGGTTTCTCGATGATATCTCAGTACGAAGCTCAGATGGAAACGACAAATTAACCAATGGTAACTTTGAGGCGTCATCATCGTTAGTTGCATGGTCATCAGGTAACACAGGAGTGTGTCTATCTAACTACGGATTAACAACAAGTCAATATCACTCGTCGAGCAAATCCTTTTATTCTGCGTGCGGCTTAGGATCACCTTGGATATCTCAATCGTTGACTGTTACAAGTGGTCAACTTTATAACGTTAGTTTTTGGGTTTATTTGCAACAGATTTTGCCGATAGGATTTGGAAGTGAACAAATTACTGTGAACATTCAATAACAGCTCGTCTTAAGTATTCTATATACTCGTCTATAAATAAACTATTTATCTGAAAGTCAGTTCACAACATAGTCCAGAAGCGCAGCAAAGCTGTTTTCTGGATCGTCGTAGTCCTATTAGTATTCATCTCCAATGATAATTACCTACTAAGTAGTAATACTCGTGATCGAAATGGATCACGCTACAGACTCGGTCAATATATCTCGAGATGAACGACATTTTCTCTCAAATTCATGACAATACACGATATTCATACGTGATACACACGTTATAGAAAAAGTGCACTAATTTCCGTTGCCAAAACAATCCTATAGTATACAACTCTCATTAACCGCTTCTAATTCTACTGGAAAATAGTTCTGAAATGAGGGAAAAAATTTCTTTACAGCTTTACTATTCCAACGTATATTGGGTATCAACATTGTTGTTTTTAAATAATGAATGTACTATTTATGAGAAGATTTTACATCAAAATCTATCATACCGACTCTAGCAAGTAAATTGAATTCTCTGTTAAAAGAGAAGACAGTAAACAACATTTCTGCTTACATTTCATTCTCAACGTATTCTCTTTACAGCAAATTTTCATGAACTATAGATTTGGCAAACAGAATCCGCACTCATTCATTTTGCTTCGATTCATTGTTTAGCTTTGCGTCTCAATGTAGTCGGGTGGAACTGTAATGATCGATGTCAAATGATCATGAACTATTCTCAGAACAACATTTGACTACTGCACTCTAGCGATACAACATATTCTTTTCTGATCAGTGTTTGAGTGAGGATCTGTAGAAGTCTATTATTGATAGTTCAGAAAGAGGACTCGGTTTAATTATAAGTGCAAGTGAAATAGAATTGTTTGATCGAAGGATCTCCAAATAGTACATCAATTGAAGTGAAAAGCTTTGACACGATCATACTTATTCTTCACGACTGAAATCAATAAAAAGATAGCTATCAGAACATTTTCACTGCAAGAAACTCTATGGAAATTACAGCTCCCTGAAAAAGTACTGTAAATAGACCTTTTTGTGTGAAAACTGCACTTATTTATCAATTTTATTCAATTTGTTCACACACATTTTTTTCGTGAAACACATTAAAAGCTCGATCTATAGTCAGGATTTCTCTCACAGAGTGTTAGCGAAAAAACGTGAACGTGATAACTTGGAGCAAAATACGTTGACCAGTGCTCAAATATCAGGATTGAAGACAATTTTTGATGACTTTCTACGATACAGAAGAATCATGTCGAAAAATCTGAACCTTCACAAAATCCAATGTGAGGACTACATAAAAGAGGCCAAAAATTTCGTTTGAAGGATAACTTTTCATGCACAATCGAATGGGCTGGCTGCTTTTAAAATCAAAATTTAGTTGTTTGTGCACTTATGTATAACTAAGTCTATTTTCTTATAGATCCTCTCATAAAAGGATGTGTCATATGAATCCATCAAGACATAAAACGTTGAATGAGTAAAACATGAGCTAAAATGCACGAAGAAGCCCATTTCGAAAACTGTCATGACTGTTTTAATAGCATTTCAGCTTGTTTGAAACCTCACAGTATGTTTTGGATTCACTTATAAAAGAATCTTCTCGTTTTCTCTCTTTACCTTTCGAAGGATACTGTCTGGATGTTTATAACGAAAACAATCGCTCAATCTTCTGATCCTTCTTGAGGATGCACTATATTTTGTGAGAAACAAAGTCAAATCAATCCGAGTAGACTTCAATACCTACTATCCAACTGATTACTGGCTAACAGCGATTATAAAGCATGAAGATCGTCATATATTCCTATATGAATATTTGCAATTGATTGTTCCAAAGTAGCAATGCAAATTGATATTGATGTTTTTGACAAATTTTTCGAATAAATAATCATTCCTTTTTATTCTTTGTTTAAAAACTCCAATTTTGACTCTTTCCATAATGTCCCAAGACAAAATTTTGCAAATGAATTTTCATATGTTAAATAGGTTAAATGGAATGTTGTAACGACATTGAAAGTATACTTGGAACGCCACTTTTTAAACGAAAGAAATCTGTTCGTCAGATTTGACTGATGATGGCAGCGCGTGAGAAAGGAAATGACTTCTAATTTGATTTGGCAATCCGAGAGATTTATTGATGTATGCAAAATATTGCTTTGATCTGAGCTTATTAGACGTCATTGCCGTCTAACATGATCTGTGTATAAAACTCTTAACGAAGCAAAAGAATTGATGGCTATAACTGAGAGGAAGCAAAGTTCAGTACTTAAAAACAAATTTAGACGTCCTTTTCTATTAACCCGTAGTGAATCATTCTGTGTGAAATTTTCTGTTCTGTATATGCGTTTAAACAGCATGCTGTATCCGCGTCTACTCGCACAATGAAGCATTAGGTGACGAAATGTCATTATTCGATGGTTTCGACTCGCATACGTATGCATGAAAAGAGAGAATAAATATATTCGTAGAGAATTTATTGAATTTTCAAGACCGATCAAGGAAAAAAGTCATTCATTCAATATATCTTATATGAGTAAGCCTTTCGATTATGTCGGAGTACACACTATGCAGTTTTTCTGTGCAGTAGTTCTCGACTGTTTGTTTTAAGTGACAAAGAAGTACAGAAAGAATGCTGTCCAGAGAATCAGTCGACTATTTTTCGATGTCATAACCATTTCACCATCATTAATTGGACCAGACCAATCACGTAATCGACTCACACATCCAACATCGACGACATTCGGATGATACTTCAAAACACTTTCTCCAGTAATTGTATCATCATGTGCTGTATACCAATACGAAGCACCCATGTTTGACGCCGGAATTTCATCAATTTTGTCTAATCCAATGTAATGACCTGTCGCATTGTCGATGTACAATATAACAGGAAAGATACCAGCAGCGTCGATGGCGTTACCTATCCACGCTTGTGCAGCGACTGGTTTCATATCTCCAACGCCCCATTTCTTCGTGATCACCCATTCACCAGCATAGTCCAAAAATCGAGAGTTGTAATTATAAACTTCACATTGGTAATTACATGCTGACGACCAGATGCATGTGTTCGATGTGTAGTCATACAAGAAAAAGCCACTCGCGTTGAAATAATAGTATTTCGTTCCTGCAGTGCAGATGAGTATTTGATTAACATCATCCATAATCCATACTGAATTCGTCACAAAATCATACCTTTTGATGCCGAAGATTCCGTAGCCTGTGTTGCTTGGGAAAGGATTGGCTAATGCGTGTGCACTGATATCGTTATTAGGACATTGAGTGGTGCTATTTCTTTTGCAAATCTTCAAATAGTCAGTGGATTGAGTTGGAATTCCTCCATAGAAAACGTGTCGTGCAGTACCAAACGGAGGTTGATTGTCGACAAGAGATGAAGGTGAAGGAAAAGGTGTTCCCGAAAGGATGACATTGATTGAATATAACTTATTATCCAGAGCGTTGATGTGCAAAACGACTAAATGAGTGTTGTTCTGTGTAGCACACCCTGGTGCAACGCCGTTGTAGCCCGATGGTGGACAATGATAGTTCAAGTCACGATTGTCGATGGTTCCTAGAACAGTTAATGCAGCTATTTGTGCATAGAATGTTTGATTCGTGGTTGGATCTTGATAAGTTGTATAGTTTGTTGCCAAGTTTGTAATTTGTTGCCAAGAAAAAATGAAACAGTCGGTAGTGGTGGTGTTGTCTTGTGTCGTGGTGACAGTAGTTTGAACACATGATGATGGAACTCGTTGAAGATAGAATATGCCATCACAAGTGACTAAAGTGAGGAAACAAATATAAAATTATACTGAAATATTATGGATGTATACGAACTGAAGTCGACAAGGAAAATATTGAAGAATATTGAGGTAACTACAATGCAGAACAGCATCTGTATGCTTTTAGTTTTGCTTTGAGTAATGTATGTGTCGATATATGTATATATAGGAGGGCTTTCACTTTTTCGTTCTTGAGATTTCACATATACAAATAAATACAACTAACGTAGATTTTACTTTGCTATGCTTCCACTATGAAGTTATTATTTCTTTATACGCGACCAGATGCGATGAAATAAAAGCGTTCTCGTACTTCCAGATTATTTTATAGGAGTAGCGTAGATGTTAACTTTCACTTCAAAATGAAATTGTCGAATGAGAATTTTGTCTTTGAAATATTCTTTGATTTTTTATGCGAGTACCCATTGATAATTAACACTTTCTATCAATGTGACGTTCTCTTTTGTGACTAGGTGAAGAGGTTCTATTATCCAGCACTTTGTGAAATTTCAAATTGTTATCTCTCTTACCTTCGACAGCTCATTTCCCCGGATATGAATATATATTGCTTTTTGCTTACATTTTTATTCACCTACAATTTGTATTACCACAAAACTAGACATGAGACCACCTATTGACGACTGCTGTTATATCTATACCTAGTCGCAATCGGAGAGTACCATGTTTTCTTTTTTAATCACTGCGTCTCAACGTTAAACAACAACTTGATATAATTGAAACTGCAAAAGTAGTGAAGGGTAACTTCGAGGCGTCATCATTATTACATATTCGATAAAATAAATGGGCGATGAATTTATTTGTTGTTCCTAGTTTCATACTGCAGATGAATAGACCAAGCAAAGACATACTAAACCCGATCATTTTCACGGACAACTGCTTACATCTTTACTAATAGTATATAATCTGTCGAAAGAAGGAAAATCGATAAAGAGCAAACTCAACGATGAATAGTATTAGTGCACTTGTGAGGAAAATGTGTCGTTCTGTTAATATTTACAGATACGTGCTTCTTGTAATATTATATGAAAAGTCATATGAACCTGTAAGCCGTAGGTACAAAAAATTCTTAATTTGTGATTGAAAGCAACGGTAGGAAAAGCAGTACTCACTTCCATTAATAAAATAATCATATAAAGGAATCAAAATTTTTCTTCATAATTTGAAAATAATGTTTTTTTTCTACTAGAAAAGTAATGTTCCATTATCTTTATTTCTATCAATTTGAAGAAAAGCTCTAATTTTGATAATTTCATGTTACAAAATCACATCTCGATTTTCAGGAGAACTATTAACGTTAACGTTCTACTATAAGTACAACTTTTACTGTTTATTTCGCACAAAGACTTTTCTCGAAGTGACTGCAGAAAATGCGATGGAAACTTTTACAGAAGAACGTGTATATGATCTTTTCTAAATCAGAGATGTTAATGTTACTCACAATTAAAACTTTTACTCCTCTCTTCTTTTTATTCACCCGTGTCTGTTCAATTTCTATCGGTTCAGTCTCAGATGCCATCTATCTCTCGTCAAACGATCTCAATCAAGCTTATTCTAATCTTACTTGTATGCAATGCAGTTGTTTAGCTTTGCGTCTCAATGCAGTCGGGTGGAACTGTAATGATCAATGTCAAATGATCATGAACTATTCTCAGAACGACATTGGGCTAGTGCATTCAAGCGGTACAACATATTCTTTTCTGATCATCCCACCTCAACAGTCAACAACAACAACTTGTAAGTTTAGATCGAAACTTATGCAACACGATTTCATCTTTTTCATTAGTAACGCCATCAAGCAGTTCAACGTCAGCAACTACTGTTGCAAGTATGTGGAAAATTCTTCTTTTGTCTACGAATAGCTTATTTTATTTGTAATTCTATAGCAACGACAACCGTTAACTTTAAATCGACTTATATCGCGCCGAATACTGCAGTGGCAAATACTTGGACTTTGAACTTCTATTCTTATCGGGCAATGACTTCAACAACTGTAACTGTCAAGTTCACGTTTCAAACAGCTTCAGGTTGCCAATGGTATATTGATGATGTATCGGTTCGTGATGCAGCTGGCAACGAAAGGTTAATTAATGGGAACTTTGAAGCTTCATCCTCGTTGAGTGGATGGTCGACAGGATATTCAGGATTTTGTACATTTACTTACGGATCAACTTCCACTCAATATCATTCAACAAGTCATTCGTATTACAGTTCATGTTCAACGGGAACAACTTCAATATCTCAATCATTTGCTGTAACCGGTGACAAAATTTACAACGTTAGTTTTTGGGTTTATTTTAATCCAAATAGCACTCCGTTTGCATATGGAAATACCGGAGTGAATGTTACTATTAACTGACCAACTATTTATTTCTTTGACGCTTTAGACATTCGAGTTTATTTGATATGCAAGAGAACACTGTATTTATTATAGTTTATAAGATGTTGTACAGCAGTAAGGGTAGCAGTTTCAATAAGAGATAGAACTTGACCGATTTGGTGAACAGAGAGTAGTTGTACACAAAAATGTTTTATTTTGGTGTCTGGTTGAAAATGAATCGTTTGCCTCTCAAGGGTAAACAACGACAATCGTTATTATCCGGTCGAAAACCAAAGTTTACACAGTAGCCACCCATCTTACGACAACCACCGTCATTGCATCCACCCCATGCACTAGATCAACAACTTCTACTAACTTCAATAATCTTATATATAAAATCTTATTAAAAAATGAAAAGATTTTTATATGAATAAACACTTAAGGATATAACTTCCACTGGATAGACTTTCTTTCTGAAAGACGTAATTACAATATTAAGAAAATGCTTCAAAAAACCGTTTGTTATTCTATGGAAATTTTATTTTTCGAAAGCAAATGATCTGCCTTTCGAGTGTTATATTGCAATGTCAACACACATAAGTCATCATCTATTGAGAAAGTTCGTTTTTCATTTTATCCAAAAACAGGAAGTACGGTTGATGGTCATCCGTTCGATTGTTCTTCGTTTTCAGACCATTTTCTTGATGAATAAACTCGATTAGATCTTGAATATTCGGATAATACTCTCCTCTCACACGTATTTCAACGTCATTCTGTTTCCCAGTTAATATTTCCTCGTCGTTTGTCCAATTAAACAAACTCGCACCAGTGCCTGTATCAAACGGATTTAATTCTATAACAACACAGTCGAACTCGTTCGTTGATCCATTTTCCATCAAACCAACATCGATAATATAATTCGAATAGCTTTCATTCCACCTTTCAAGCAACATTCGGATGTTGTCTTGAAAATATTTCTCGATTGTTGATTTGATCTTTTGTACAATCAACTGATCTTGTAAATGATAAAATTTACAATAGTGATTATATTGCGAAATGGCGGTTAGTTTCGATTGATAGACAAAACACCGGAATTCCATAGAATGATTCAGTTGGCTATGCCATTGACGAAGAATGAGATGATTATTCCATGGAATCTTCTCGTCGTCAAGTTTCTCACAGTGAAGTGCATCGGACAGATCGATGAAAACTCTTTCACTTGATAAAATCAGATTTAACGCTTCGCGTTCATTGGTCACTTTCAAACATTGGAATTGGGCGGAACAGAACGCAATCATCTGCATATTCGATTGACTTTCAATGGCATCGTATTCATGCGGATAATTTTCTTTTAATCGATGCAATTCTTGGTCGTAAACATCTTTTAAGAGTTGTTGATTTAAACAATCACCATCTTTAGGACTTCGAGAGCTTAAACGAATGAAATATTCATTGATTGGCCGATGAAACAGTTTGTTTTTCAGTTGATTTTCAATCGATTCAATTAAATGCCGATGTTCATGAGTAAATAAAATCGTCTTGGAATTGTACCGAGCTTGATAGTAATTGACAAATGCTTGTGCAATCGATGGAGAAATCGAAAGAAACTCAGTGTGGAATGTTTGGACCTTCAAAATCGGATACCAGGATTCAACATTGAATGGAATATGCTGACGTTGACGTTCCAATTTATGTCGGTATAGTTCCTTGTCAATCTGATCGTCTTTACTCTTAGAACTATTGTTTGGTGCAGTTAAGTATTGTCCCATTTTAACAGAAGTGACTCACACAAAAAACTTCGGAGTGTGAATATTAGCGAATCATTTGTGTTTACACAATATTAATTGGATATCGCCGATCAAGTATGGAGTTAATATAAGCTGACTGTGTTACTGATAAAATGAACGGCGATTTCGTTTTAGTGTAAAAATATTCATGTTCTTGTTCTCGACAGATGTCAGGAATGGTTATGCTCACCTTCATCAATTCAAATATTTCTTTTTGGCAGTAAAACGAATATATCACATCTCTGCCTTTCTATTATTCATTCTCCTCCGGACGAAAACGCCCATTTTCTTATCATGAGATTTAAAAAAAAACAGAAAAGAACTTTTTTGTTTTGCCATTCATTTTCGAACGGGTAATTGAAAAAGAAGTACAATATTCACACCTCTCATTATTCGATATACAGAAAAAAAATCAATCCTTTTGTAATGCACCATAAAAGTACGATTAGTTTTTAATGATCTCATTAACGAGTAAACTCAGTTCGAATAGATTTGACATTAGTATCGCGAGCGAATCACATTTTGTGTAGGTAGCATCGATGATTTTTCGTAACAAATTGCCATCTGAAGTTGAAAATTGATGTTTAATCAACAACTTCGCTAAATACAATCGGAGTTAAACACGAAGTGATTCGTTTGGAGTTGGATTGATGGTCTGAGACCGTTCTATTCTTTGCTCGTGACACAAAGTACAACATATCGGTTTTGGGACGTGTTAACTTCACAGTTTATTTTCAAGATTGCTTCATTACTATAGAAATGTCAATAGCACCGACAAATGACAACTTCTCATCTCAAAAGAAGAATAAGCAGAAATCACTTAACTACATCTCTTCGTATATAAAATACAAATTCGATAGTCTGTTTGCTCATGGCTTGATCTTTATCATTCCAATGTTGATTGCGATTACTGCGGTTGTAATATTAATCTTCAGTATAATTTATTATTTCACTGAAATGGAAGATAATTATGAAGATGCTCTATGGGAAACGTTTACTCGTATACTCGATCCATGTGCCGCAGCCGAAGATCACGGTCTTCAGCATCGAATTCTATCCGGAATTGTTATACTCTGTGGTCTTGTGATAATCGCTATATTGATTGGTACGATTGTGACTTTCATGGATGAAAAACTGAACGAATTGAAGAAGGGACACAGTACCGTCGTGGAAAAAAATCATACAAGTAAAATAAGATGATCTATTGATGAAAAGGAACGATTTCTTTCGTTTACTTTGTTAGTTATTCTCGGATGGTCACCGAAAATATTCGACATCATCAATGAATTGATCATTGCAAATGAAAGTCAACGTAGCCCTTCTGTCGTTATCCTAACAAACAAAAATCGAACTGAAATTCAATATATGATCAAGAATAAAATAACTAATTCGAAAAATACACGAATCATCTGTAGAAACGGCGATCCTATGTCGGTATGTACAAACCATTTTCGATTTTATCTATTATGCCATACTGTAGATCACCGATCTAAATAAACTAAGCTTGAATCAAGCACGAGCAGTGATTATACTGGCAGCGGAGTCCAGTCACAATGCCGACATTCGAGTAATCAAAACAGTATTAGCGATTAGAAATGATCCACAACGAAATAACATCAATTTTCATATAGTAGCGGAAATTAAAGTAGGACTAAATTTAGAAGCAGCAATGATTGCAGGTATTTGCTCGAGAATCAATCCGTCTGGAAATAATACATTCTCTGACACACGAATATTTGTTTTAGGAGGAGACGAAGCATTGTTTGTTAACGCTGATGAAATAACTGCACGTATTATCGCTCAGTCATGTCGACAGAGTGGTTTAACCATAATCCTCTCAACGTTACTATCATTTCAAGATGATGAAATCTATTTCAAACATGAAAAGGGGCTTATTGGCAAAACATTCCATGACGCGATATTTTCCTATAAGAAATGTTCCGTCATTGGATTGATGTTCGCCGATGGAACAGTAAAATTATGTCCTCGGTTAGACACAATTATCAACGCAGATGACAAAATTATTGCCATCGCGGAAGACGATGCTAAAGTGATACTTTCTTCGGAGAATTTGTTATATCGCGAGTATGCGCACATGCGAACAGGAATAAATCGTCACACAGTTTCACCTTCACTTCACTTTGCCAGTGGAGGAACAAAAAAAGTTGAACGAAATCTCATACTCGGCTGGAATACTCGAGCTCCATTAATCGCCAAAGAGCTGGATACCTACGTAGCTCATGGTAGTGAGCTACACGTGCTGACAAACTCGGAGACGATCGTACATTCGATCAACACACAGCTAACCAATGAATTAATCCAACAAAAGGTCTTTGTGCATCTTGGAAGTTTAACAAATAAACGCGATCTAGAGAAATTAAACATATTTTCGTACCATTATGTTATAGTCTTAGAGAATCAAGACAGCGAAAAGCAAGCTTTAGTGGAAGAAGCGGATGCTGAATGTTTAATTTGTTTGTTATACTTACAAAATATCATTGATCAATCCAAAACAACGAAGACGTTCAATTTAGTCATCGAATTGGCTGATATACGTAATCGACAATTGGTCAATGCTTCATGTGCTGATGATTTTATCGTCTGTCCGAATTTACTTGCGAAGTATATTGCACAATTATCGGAGGATAAAAACATTAAAAAGGTTTATGATGTTTTGTTAGCAGCTGGTGGCGTAGATATTTCTTTGTGCTTAGCATCGGCTTTTGTTCCAGTTGGAGTGCCAATTAGTTATTATAAGATTTTACAGGAAACATTGAAGCATCAATGTGTAGCGATTGGTTATCGATTAATGAAATATTTACATGATGAAAGCAGATTTTACGGGATTGTTTTAAATCCGAATAAACAGGAAGAAGTGATTTTTTCACCGAATGATAAAATTATTATTTTAGCTGAACATTTCATGCCATCTAGCCCCGCACCGGTTAACCCTCAAAATAAAGTTGCACATACGAGATTTCAACCGGACAAATCAGTATTTTGAAAAGCTGTATTCACTATTTTGCTGTTATTTTCGATATTCGCTTTTAAAATAAATTGAAAGATCATCAATTAACAATTTCACACATCCATAACACACAGATGAGTAGGGCTTTCGATAGATCGGAATGTTGCCCGTTGAAAATACAAATGCGCATGAATATTCGATTGATTACAAAAGTCGAAAACATCGAATGCATCTCAAACAAATTCTACGCAAGGAAGAAAAACGAGAGTAAAATGAATTATTCTTTTTCCTTCGATGTTAAAACTCCACGAACTGGAGTAGGACACTGATGTGTACTGAAAGAACAAAACGAGTAACGAAGAAAATATAGTATTAATGGAAACCTTTAAAAAAAGTAAGAACTCTAATGACTCTCACACGTTGGTTATTTCGGCATATTCTGTACGCATGCTCTCAAATCAGAGCACAACTGGAGACAAAGAAATTATCAGCCACGCCTTGAAGAGAAGAGTTTACAAAATCTAACAATGAACAACTCTGATCTTAATGATGAAAATATTCCACAAGCACAAATCATACTATTACCATCTAAAAGCAATAGCAACGTGTATGCTGTCAATTCTAATCAATGTCGTTCTCTCTCTTGCCATGAACGTGATTTGGTGTTGTATACATGTAAAAAAAACGCATCTGTCACAGTTAATCGACATTCCTTATCAACACTCTACACACCCACAAATTCTGAACATAAAAAAATACTCTATGTTATATTTACTCAAGGAAAGTAGAGACACTTTTTAAAACTCTGTTATCATTCTCATGATTCACATCGTAGTGGCGTCAATGTCATTGCACAACAATAAAACAGAGTTATTATCTTTATTGGTATTTCACTTCGGCGTATAAATAATCTTTTTTTTCCTTATTGTCCTCATGAAACACAGAATGTTGAATAAGTTCTTTATTTTATTATACATCGTTCTTCAACAAAATGTTCTCAGTACAAGACTTGGCTGCCATCGTTGTCAGGATTTACGACGATATAGTTTCGTTATAACATCTGATACACTGCCGACAAATTTTCTCGACGGATGCTCGTTTTACATGAGTCAACAAAGTTGTACAATTGAAATTACGATTGATTTCGACAAAAAACAAACAACACTAAATGTGTCTGCATCGCAAGAATATGTTGAAACGTCCATAAATACGGTTGTTAGTATCAACGATAGATTGAAGCTTACCAGACAGATTTCATTTTGGTGTTCCGATCCTCGAGGTGGTTGTAATGATTATAGTTACATGAAACGTGTTCTACAATCGATGTCCATCGAAGATTCCTCGAAAGAACTTGAGCCATTCTTGATTCCAACAAACGAAACACTCAACAACACTTCGTGTTTATCGTTTTCCAATGACACTACTATCAAATACTCAGATAAACGAACAGAAGACACCAAAGCATGTTATATATTCGGTATCGTTAATGCTAATGCAACATCAAAAATCAGTGCAGGTCATTCATCGATGGATAATTATTATTTGAAATACGCGAAGACATTTTCAACAGAGAGCTCTACCACTTCATATCTCAGTCTCGATGATCGGTCATTGCTATGTGCCCAACCTGAATGTAATTCGATTGAGAATTACAATCGAATTGGTGCTGTCATAAAGATTGATTTCGATCCATCGAAGTTCTTTGAACCTACGACAACAACAGCGATTGTACCGTCAACAACCCCGACAGGAAGTGGCTTTGCAATGTGGAATAACGACCTAATCGTCTTTCTTGTTATGTCATTTATCTATACTGTTCTACTTTCTTGAATGTTTTTGTTTTTCATTGTGAAAAGATTTGTTTTGATGTTATGCCAAGAATAAATGAAAGCGATAAACCTCGTCACAGAAGTGGTGAAACTTAACACATTAGATTTACGAAAGATCAAGTTCAAATGCTACAGCTTAACAGTCCTATTAGCATCGAGTTTATCGACAACATTCAATACTTCAAAAGAAACACTCTTTGTACGACAATCTGTATTTTTCTCGCTGGTGATTTTTCGTCAGGGTACCTTTTATTGTTTGATGTTGAAATACTATACTTAAATGTCATATGGATGCCCAATAAAATACTTCCAGACTCTCACTCTCATGCCATCACCAATATTCTGCATCTTTGAATATGTCTGCAAGTAGAACAGCTACAGTAAAACTTTCAGCTCGTACCATCTAAAGTACATTTCGACATCATAAACAGACACTAAATCAGCCTGATACCAAATAAAAATTTCTAAACTCAACCCAGATCCTCAGTTTTTGGAATGTAGCTATGAACTTGTCTAATGTACCTCATGAATAGCAGTTCATATCGGAGATGAAAGTATGTGCAGACGTCTTACGGGTGATTTAATTGTATGTTTAACTATAGTTTTTAAAGTATTTTTTCGATCTATTGTCTTGAGGGCATCGATGATCATTTCCCTATGCATTTGAATTACTGTATTTAAATTGCCATTCATTCTACATATATGTGAACGTGATGGTGATAACAATTCTTTCAATTATCGCACAATAAAATTCACTTGTTCAATCCGAGTCGGTTCAATTCCTAATGTTACATACAATTTCATGGAATAACGCTCTACCGAAATACAATATATCATATCGGCAATGCCAATGTGTTACTTTGACTGAATCTGCTGTTGAATGGAATTATATATCAATAAATGAAACATATCACATGATTCAAAAATATTCTGGAAATGATGTTGGGTTGATAGATTTCACATAGGTATGTAAATTATACGTTTCAAAATTTTCTGTCAAGACCATCTGTCTTAACAACTGAACCAACGATAGGTACCTGTAACATATGTTCAACACAATCTTTTGACCATATTGGTTTTCATGTAGAAACAACTATCGATTCAGGCAATTTTTCTGTTGATTCCAATGTGAATTTAATTTTACGAACAAATATTTGGACACAATATTCATTTATTTATATTGCAACGTCACTAGCAAATGCTACAATACAATTCTCTTTCATGGAATTTACATAACGTAACGGTTAAAGATACGTCATCAAGCAACCTAATAATCAATGGTGATTTTCAAAGTAGTTTTTTTTATCACCCGGCTGGAATATAGATAACTCGAATCTATGCACTTTAATTGATGTAACTAATTCTTATCAACAATCTAATTGAAATGATTTTTGCTATTTCGATTGTAATACAAACTAAGGTACGACTTATCAGTCATTCCTAGTTACCTCCGGATCAATTTATAACGTTACTTTTTCGTACAGTCTTTGCTCTGATCATGGCGGCACTTACGGTTATAATGATTGTAATATCTATAACAGTCAAAGTTCTGGTTCTAATAAAGTTAACATAACTGCATATTGAACATAATTGACTCTTGATGTAAAAAAAAGAAGAATTATTTCTTTCTGATATAATACATGTTCGAAATTCTTTTTTCTGTTGTTGTTTCAACGTGAAAAAGCTTGATCAGAACGAGAAGGCTTTTCATTTGACGCTGAATTCAAGAATTTCTTTCCTTTCAACAGAAAGAAAAAAATCATTTATATCTGTTCTTCACTCACATCCTTCATTTTTTTACACATTGTATTCAGTTGGTAAACTCAATTTGACTTCGTCAGCTTTGCTTATCAGAAAGTAGTTAATAAACTACGATCGAAAACCATATAATACATTTATATATTACCTGCTACAGGCTTCTGCTTGATCAACAGCGGTCTCAGTTTGATGAGTTTTTTAATGAAAAAAACGAATGAATACCTAACAACAGGTGAAGAAAACATGTCAAAATTGCCATTTATTCTTTTTCTTCTTCCGATTCTCGTGTAGACGCATATAAATATGTGCCACTATTGCTATTTGTGTTGGATTTTCACGAGAAAATAACGTAAGTGACTTTTTTATGCAGAAATAAAAATCTTGATTGAATTTTAAAGAACTAATCACTACTTTGTTCATCATTACATAAAGATCTTCTTCTCAATAAGGGTTATAACTTTTCCTCATTAAATAATGTAAAAGACTTTTCAATTCTTTAGTTTATCTCGGTGGAGTTGTAAAAAATTCTAGATATTTGCCATCGTCAATAGATAAACACTACAAATACATTTTGTTTGTCTTAGGCATGCAAATAGAAGATCACCTACATGACTTGTAGACAAAACAATGAATTATATAGAATCATCGGTTCGAGATTGACTGTTTCTCGAACTGAAGAGACAGCATATCTTCGTTCTGAAGAACTACCTCAACTTACAATAAACGATCGTCGTAAGATCATCAAACTTTCATCATTCGGAGAAAAACGTCGCTGTCATCAGTCTACAAGTATCTGTAAAACTAGTTTTATACACCAATCAGTATTACGACGAGATCAAATAAACATTGATTTACAACATCAACAAGGCGCATGTATCAGAAAACGATCTTTGACTGTCGATACTAGTCCGAACGTGATTCAAGCAAGGTAATGTGCACACATAGATAATGTTCTACATCGGAGATGACGTTTATTTTACTAGAAATTCGCTTCGTATATATGAACAAACACCGCGAACGAAAAATTTTCAAGTAAAAGTTTTTCGAAATGGTGATAGTTCGAGATTTGTATGGTGTATGTCATGTTCGATGGAAATTGTATATATCTTTACTCTTCGCCTTTTGTAACATTGACAATCGTTTAATGTATTTAGTTATTCGCTTCTGCAACGGAAAAGTTCCGATCCATGGTTATGTTCAAACGTTTGTTCGATATTGACGGAAATGAGATTTTGAAAAGTGAGGATATATTGCGTGGAATGGAATATTACGTGTCTGTTGGAGAAACGTTTATCAGTCCACTTAGAGCAATTGATTGTAAGTTGAACTCATTCTCTTTTCCAATTTTCATTTGATTTCTAGTTCATTTGGAATATCGATTGCATTCGAAATGGACAATTTACGGTATAATACGAAGCTATGTCAAGCGTGCGTTCAAATATCTTAATGCATAGAGTGCATCAATATTATATAGGTTTCCATTATAGGGCGACTACCTCAAAAAGAGAAGTCCGATCAAATTAAAATTGCCATTTATATGAATCAAGAAGATTTCATACCAATTATACCCGTGACGAGAAATCGTAAAACACAAGTGTTTGAGCATAGATGTCAGTATGAAACACCCGATTGTTGTACACATTACAAACCTTTGAATGAATGTGATCTATCAATCATCCTAAAGAGATTACCGTATGTTGATAAATGTACACAATTAAATCAATACGTATCTCAAATGGAACGTCCAGATTGTTCGAAACGTAGTCGATGTCCACATCAACAAGACAAGGCATTTCTTATTGACACATCAACACAAACGGGTATTATTATTGTACAAATCGAAACGATGGACTCAGTGAAGACTACAATTTCAATTAATGAAATGGATATATTGGTGTACAATGTTTTTGTTATCGAAAACGTAGATGATGACGTGAAACTTCCTAACAAAATCAATGATTCCGATAAAGAATATAAGATACAATCGATTGACCAAGCTGATACTTACAAAGTTCCTTTGTTACACCATGAAAACGATTTACTAATTGGTACTCCACTAGTTGAACATCCCGATAGAGGTAATAATTCATCATGACTAAATTTCAATAAATCGTTTGATCTTCTATGAGTAGTTTTACTTCCTTCAGCAAGAAACAACCCTGATCAGTTAACAACAACATACTGCTGTCATTGTCCATCTGTTGATATTATTGGTCCATGCGAAATCCGTTGCAGACCAATTACGCCAGTGGTAAGAAGCTGCTGTACCTCCTGCGCACAATGCTTCGGAAATTTGCGAGGGAAACTCTGTAAATGCTGCAATCCACCGTCTAGTAAGGATAAAACGAACAAACAAACAAAGACCATATAGAGTATCCACATATCCTGCACGTTTTCAATATTGAGTTAGCCAGTCTCATCACATGCACTAATATTTTAGAATAGTAGGATGAGACGTCAGTAAGAAATTACAAATGCGTTTTCATCTATTCGTAGTGATTTTCCTAGTTCGGCTAAATTTTATCAAGAGGTATATCCAATAGTGAATGTAATACTGAGATGAGAACATGAGGAGAACATATTGACAAATATAATAGTTACTTTTAGCGAGGCATAGAAATTAAATGCAGAGGCTATTCAAGGTTACAATTTCTATGTCACCATCTTCCTTCTTGCACTCGGAGAACTCCAAGGATCATAAAGCATGTCACTTGTAAGTAAATAAAGTTGATTGGTTTTCTATCTCTAAAGACCCAGTCCCACAACCAACTCCACCATCAGGTCCGCCATCAGGCCCACCATCAGGTCCACCATCAGGTCCACCATCGGGCCCATCATCAGGTCCACCATCAGGTCCGCCATCAGGCCCACCATCAGGTCCACCATCCGGTTCACCATCGGGCCCATCATCAGGTCCACCATCAGGTCCGCCATCAGGTCCACCATCAGGTCCACCATCGGGCCCATCATCAGGTCCACCATCAGGCCCATCATCAGGTCCGCCATCAGGTCCACCATCAGGTCCGCCATCAGGTCCACCATCGGGCCCACCATCAGGTCCGCCATCAGGCCCACCATCAGGTCCGCCATCAAGCCCACCATCAGGTCCACCATCGGGCCCACCATCAGGTCCGCCATCAAGCCCACCATCAGGTCCACCATCTGACCCACCAGCAGTTCCACTATCGGGTCCACCATCAGGCCCACAACTACCTTGCTGTTCTCCAGTGGCAATTGTTGGTGCATGCTATACATGTTGCTCAATGACGGCTCAAGCTCCAGGACGCTGCTGGACGAAACTATGCAAAAATGAAAGACCACGCCCTCATGTTCACCCTGAAACTGACGATAGTAAGTAAAAACGTAAGGTCATTGTCCGATAAGGAAATTAGAGATTTATATTGAATTTATGGATTACAAAGTCGTAATGATAACCAATTATCCGCTTCAATATGAAATAAAAGATACCTTCTAATTGGATTAGAACTAAGACTTTTTCTACGGATGTCAGAGGAAAATACGTACTTATAATGGAAGGTGTGTGATAATAACCAAGAATATGATGCTTCAAAACGTTACTTTTGAGTAAAACTCGAATTAGGATCACTTCAGCTGGTCAATATATCGATCTGATAATATTTTCATTTCCACATTCACTTCATAATTGTCTATACCTTTGATGATCTATTTCTTTTACTTTTATAGTGAAACAACCTGTTTTACTCAATCGTAGGGATTTTTCAGCACCACTCTCTCCTGTACTGGAAACCCTCGATTCTTACAAGGTTTCCAAAATGAAGAATGCTATAGACACTAATATACTTCCGGATGTTGGTCAACATGAAAATCCTGATTTGATTAAACCGCCTGTGTCTGGCAATAATACAGATACTGATCACCTTAAACCATGTTCTCCTGAAAAAGAACAACCAGATCGAGAAAAACAACCAAAGACGAAGAACCGATCCGGTCAATTTGAGCATATGCCACAAGTGGAACATTCCGATCAAGCAAAACATTACTTACGGCGATGTATACCACAACCAAAGCATCAGGTTGAATATCCTGATCAATTGAAAATTCTGAAAGATCGCCCGTATACTGAAAACCCTGATATGGTTAAATATCCTGCGCGATTCAATAAAGTCGACAAACCACCTATTCGTGCTAAACACAAACCTCAAGTTGAAATACCAGATCGATATAAACGATGCGAAATCATCCATAGAAGAGACAGAATTCTTAAGATTCAGACAGAACAACCTGATGAAATCAAACGATCAAAATATTTACCACATCATAATAAGAAGTAAAAAGCACGTCTTTCGTTTGATTTCTTCAAAACATCTTTCTGTAACAGGCCTCCCAAAGTACCTCTGGATAAACGTCATTATCCGACCCGAAATTTCTATGTTCAAGTTTTCAAGAAAAATGATTTCTCTCGATCTGCTTATTGTAAATCATGTTCGATGGATACTGTAAGTTATGAATACTTGTACCTGATGAAATGCTTACGTATATTTCTATAAAAAGATCCTATCTGAAGCAACGCAAAATTTATCAATGTCGATGGCTGCTCGACATCTGTTCGATATGCGTGGAAGAGAAATCTTTCGACGAGAAGATATCCGACAGGATCGATCTTATTACGTGACATAAGAACATTATCTTTTGCGATTTGAAAATATTCTCCGATTTTCAATTTTGTACTTGTCTTTTATCTTTTTTAGATAATTAACAATTACAAATTCCAATGCCGGGAAAAATAAGAATCGACTATGACAATGAAGATATTTATGAAGGAGAATTAGACAACGAAGACCGGCCACATGGCCGAGGCGTCTATACTCACCATACGGAAGCAGGTGAGGTACAAGTGGGAGTATATGATGGTGAATGGCAAAATGGTAAAAAGCATGGCGAAGGAGCACATCATTATAGAAATGGCGATGTCTACAACGGTTCATGGCAAAATGGTCTAAGACATGGACATGGAACTTACACTTATCATAAAAAAACTGCAAATCAATCGGTTAAATATGTTGGTAATTGGGAAAATGACCAGAAACATGGCAAAGGTACGATGACGTTTTCAAATGGTGATAAGTATGAAGGTGATTGGAAGAATAACAACATGGAATCGAAAAAGTCTATTTATACTTATAAGGACAATTCAAAATATGAAGGTGAGTAGAATTGATCGATAACAATCTCAATGAAACTAATCTCTGTCGTGAAGGCGCATGGAAAAATGATGATAAGAATGGCGAAGGCGTTTTGACATATAGCAACGGTGATGTTTATGAAGGACAATTCAAAGACGGAAAAAGACATGGCAAAGGAACGTATAAGTTCTCTCAGGGACAATCAAAAGTAGGATATTATGTAGACGATAAACGTGTCAGTGGAAAACCCAATGGTTCTGAACAGGCCGCTACGACAACGACTTCAAATGCAACTTATCCAGAACATGACGCTCGTTCGGAAGACGAACATACAGATGATTAGTTTGTCGCGCATTGATTGAATTATATAACTGACTTTTTCGTCTTGACTTGATTTGTAATAAACGAGTAAAGTTCATCTTCCTGTTAGCGATCACGTATCGCTCTTCTCTTCCATTTTGAAAGAATGTTATCTGCAATAACATTCTTTCCCTTTTCGTTTTGTTTTTCTTTTCGTGGGAGAGTCACTTGCTCTTTCAACTCGAATAAACGTAGTTATTCTCGTTGAGTCTCTCCTTTTCCNCAATTTACGGTATAATACGAAGCTATGTCAAGCGTGCGTTCAAATATCTTAATGCATAGAGTGCATCAATATTATATAGGTTTCCATTATAGGGCGACTACCTCAAAAAGAGAAGTCCGATCAAATTAAAATTGCCATTTATATGAATCAAGAAGATTTCATACCAATTATACCCGTGACGAGAGATCGTAAAACACAAGTGTTTGAGCATAGATGTCAGTATGAAACACCCGATTGTTGTACACATTACAAACCTTTGAATGAATATGATATATCAATCATCCTAAAGAGATTACCGTATGTTGATAAATATACACAATTAAGTCAATACGTACCTCAAATGGAACGTCCAGATTGTTCGAAACGCAGTCGATGTCCACATCAACAAGACAAGGCATTTGTTATTGATATATCAACACAAACGGGTATTATTATTGTACAAATCGAAACGATGGACTCAGTGAAGACTGCAATTTCAATTAATGAAATGGATATACTGGTGTACAACGCTTTTGTTATCGAAAACGTAGATGACATGAAACTTCCTAACAAAATCAATGATTTCGATAAAGAATATAAGATACAATCAGTTGACCAAGCTGATACTTACAAAGTTCCTTTGTTACACCATGAAAACGATTTACGAATTGGTACTCCACTAGTTGAACATCCCGATAGAGGTAATAATTCATCACGACTAAATTTCAATAAATCGTTTGATCTTCTATGAGTAGTTTTACTTCCTTCAGCAACAAACAACCATGATCAGTTATCACCATCGTACTGCTGTCATTGTCCATCTGTTGATATTATTAGTCAATGCGAAATCCGTTGCAGACCAATTACGCCAGTGGTAAGAAGCTGCTGTGCCTCCTGTGCACAATGCTTCGGAAATTTGCGAAGAAAACTCTGTAAATGCTGCAATCCATCACCTAGTAAGGATAAAACGAACGAACAAACAAACAAAGACCAGATAGAGTATCCACATATCCTGCACGTTTTCAATATTGAGTTAGCCAGTCTGATCACATACACTAATATTTTAGAATAACAGGATGAGACTTCTGTAAGAAATTACAAATGCGTTTTCATCTGTTCGTAGTGATTTTCCTAGTTCGGCTAAATTTTATCAACAGGTATATCCAATAGTGAATGTAATACTGAGATGAGAACATGAGGAGAACATATTGACAAATATAATAGTTACTTTTACCGAGGCATAGAAATTAAATGCAGAGGCTATTCAAGGTTACAATTTCTGTGCCGCCATCTTCCTTCTTCCACTCGGAGAACTCCAAGGATCATAAAACATGTCACTTGTAAGTAAATAAAGTTGATTGATTTTCTATCTCTAAAGACCCAGATCCACCGCCAGATCCACCCTCAACTCCACCGCCAGTCCCACCACCAGTTCCACCACCGCCTTGCTGTCCTCCAGTGGCAATTGTTGGTGCATGCTGTACATGTTGTTCAATGACGGTTCGAGCTCCAGGACGCTGTTGGACGAAACTATGCAAAAATCGAGGACCACACCCTGAACAAGTTCCACAACCAACTCCACCACCAGCTCCACCGTCAACTCCACCGCTAGTGCCACCACCAGCTCCACCGCCAGTTCCACCACCAACTCCACCGCTAGTGCCACCATCACCTTGCTGTCCTCCAGTGGCAATTGTTGGTGCATGCTGTACATGTTGCTCAATGACTGTTCGAACTCCAGGACGCTGTTGGACGAAACTATGCAAAAATCAAAGACCACGCCCTCATGTTCACCCTGAAACTGACGATAGTAAGTAAAAACGTAAGGTCATTGTCCGATAAGGAAATTAGAGATTTATATTGACTTTATGGATTACAAAGTCGTAATGATAACCAATTAGCTGCTTCAATATAAAATAAAAGATAACTTCTAATTGGATTAGAGCTAAGACTTTTTCTACGGATGTCAGAAGAAAATACGTACTTATAATGGAAGGTGTGTGATAATAACCAAAAATATGATGCTTCAAAACGTTACTTTTGAGTAAAACTCGAATTAGGATCACTTCAGCTGGTCAATATATCGATCTCATAATATTTTTATTTCCGCATTCACTTCATAATTGTCTATACCTTTGATGATCTGTTTCTTTTACTTTTATAGTGAAACAACCTGTTTTACTCAATCGTAGGGATTTTTCAGCACCACTGTCTCCTGTACTAGAAACCCTCGATTCTTATAAGGTTTCCAAAATGAAGAATGCTATAGACACTAATATACTTCCGGATGTTGGTCAACATGAAAATTCTGATATGATTAAACCGCCTGTGTCTGGCAATAATACAGATACTTATCACCTTAAACCATGTTCTCCTGAAAAAGAACAACCAGATGGAGGAAAACAACCAAAGGCGAAGAACCGATCCGGTCAATTTGAGCATATGCCACAAGTGGAACATTCCGATCAAGCAAAACATTACTTACCGCGATGTATACCACAACCAAAGCATCAGGTTGAATATCCTGATCAATTGAAAATTCTGAAAGGTCGGCCGTATACTGAAAAACCTGATCTGGTTAAATATCCTGCGCGATTCAATAAAGTCGACAAACCACCTATTCGCGCTAGACACAAACCTCAAGTTGAAATACCAGATCGATATAAACGATGCGAAATCATCCATAGAAGAGACAGAATTCATATGATTCAGACAGAACAACCTGATGAAATCAAACGATCAAAATATTTACCACATCATAATAAGAAGTAAAAAGCGCGTCTTTCGTTTGATTTCTTCAAAACATCTTTCTGTAACAGGCCTCCCAAAGTACCTCTGGATAAACGTCATTATCCGACACGAAATTTTTATGTTCAAGTTTTCAAGAAAAATGATTTTTCTCGATCTGCTTATTGTAAATCATGTTCGATGGATACTGTAAGTTATGAATACTTGTACCTGATGAAATGCTTACGTATATTTCTATCAAAAGATCCTATCTGAAGCAACGCAAAATTTATCAATGTCGATGGCTGCTCGACATCTGTTCGATATGCATGGAAGAGAAATCTTTCGACGAGAAGATATCCGACAGGATCGATCATATTACGTGACATAAGAACATTTTCTTTTGCGATTTGAAAATATTCTCCGACTTTCAATTTTGTACTTGTGTCTTTTATCTTTTGTAGATAATTAACAATTACAAATTCCAATGCCGGAAAAAATAAGAATCAACTATGACAATGAAGATATTTATGAAGGAGAATTAGACAACGAAGACCGGCCACACGGCCGAGGCGTCTATACTCATCATACGGAAGCAGGTGAGATACAAGTAGGAGTATATGATGGCGAATGGCAAAATGGTAAAAAGCATGGCGAAGGAACACATCATTATAGAAATGGTGATGTCTACAAAGGTTCATGGCAAAATGGTTTAAGACATGGTCATGGGACTTACACTTATCATAAAAAAACAGCAAATCAATCGGTTAAATATGTTGGTAATTGGGAAAATGATCAGAAACATGGCAAAGGTACGATGACGTTTTCAAATGGTGATACCTATGAAGGTGATTGGAAGAATAACAACATGGAATCGAAAAGGTCTATTTATACTTATAAGGACAATTCAAAATATGAAGGTGAGTAGAATTGATGAATAACAATCTCAATAAAATTAATCTCTCTCGTGAAGGTGCATGGAAAAATGATGATAAGAATGGCGAAGGCGTTTTGACCTATAGCAACGGTGATGTTTATGAAGGACAATTCAAAGACGGAAAAAGACATGGCAAAGGAACGTATAAGTTCTCTCAGGGCCAATCAAAAGTAGGATATTATGTAGACGATAAACGTGTCGGTGGAAAACCCACGAGTTCTGAACAGGCCGCTACGACAACGACTTCAAATGCAACTTATTCAGAAAATGACGCTCGTTCGGATGGCGAACATACAGATGATTAGTTTGTTGCGCATTGATTGAATTATATGACTGACATTTTCATCTTGACTTGATTTGTAATAGACGAGTAAAGTTCGTCTTCCAGAAAGTATTCTTTAATATGAAGCGATTCTATTGTGTTGGTCGTAAATGTGTAAGGTGGCGTTTTGGAAAGTTTTTGTACATGGTTCTTTTCGAAGAATTCTATACGAATGGAACAATGAATGAGGATTTACGAGCACAGCACGACTAAATCATGATTAATGTTTTATTTGCAACAAAAAAGAAAATCCTGCATTTGATAAACACATATTTGTACTATAACATCGATAAAGTCAATGCGTGTAGACCCACTAGGCATCATTTACAGGTCTCACCCTCATATTTGAGAAATAGCATTATCGTTTGGAATAGTTTGGTGAATTGTTGCAATATTGACTGACATTTGTATATTTCGCTCCTGTTTAACTTGTTTTAGAACGGGTTTCATGCAAAAGAGATCGAAACAATTAATGCATATATTAATTGGTACTGCAATGTAGTTAACAATCAGGAACCAAAAGGCCGTTTGATACAATGTAGCGTGACAGTAATCAGCTGAATTTGGATCATGAAGATTCACTCGAACTTTGACATGAAAAATCCAATAATTTCCCTGAAGCAAGTTCAAAGTCATACAATGCGCAAAAGAAAGTAAGTTTCATACTCACTAGAATGAACCACACTATCATAAAACAAGGAAGACAGCATCCACAACTAACGAGAACAGCTATCCAGGAGCATTTACAAATGAACACCACTTTTTCTCCCCATCCGAAAAAGTGGTCTTCCTTGCAAGCAGCCAATTTGTTCTGAAAATAAAAAATATTAATATTTTATCTTTCGTGAGCTTCGTGCGCAATTAATAAAAAAAAATAGTAAAGGACGTTTTTATCGTAACTGATGTTTTCTACCTGAAGCATTGTGCCAACATAGAAAAAGCCGGACAAAGAATAGTGAACCAATTGAAAAATGGGTATCATCCTCTCAACGGGACACTGGTGAAGATAAATAGCACTGATTACAATTGCAGGCACTGGTAGTAATGCACAACAAGTCGTGAAGATGTATATGATTGTATTAATAGTACCTATAAGCCAGATAGGTAGTCGTGGAGCATATACATATTTTTTATCAGCAGTGCGGGAGATTGTACCCGGTTGCATTTCATCATTGTTAGCATATAAATGGGTAAATAAGGGCTCCGGTGCTGGCGAATAAGTCGAATTCGTGTCACTCTTAAAATCATACGATGTGGACGCTTCTGTTGACATTGGCTTTAATCAATTGCGTGTGATATAAAGATGAATGTCGCAAAATTACACTTGAAAAACGGAAGTAAATACGCACATGAGTGATCATATTGAAATTTCTCAATCTACCAATATATTCATCTAATGACGCATATTTTCTCTCTATTTCGCCTTTACTTAAACATGCGCATAAATAGTCAATACATCGAGTCGATACAGTAAGGTGAAATACGAAAAGAAAAACGATAACAAAAATGATAAGAAACGAATCGATTTGTTCGTTGGCTGATACGGTTGAATCGCATGGAACTGATGCGTCGTCAGATACTACGAATAAAAATATTCTGGTATGGTATGATCCAAATATGTCCGAACATGAAGAATACTATCAACGTATCATTTATGCCCTGAGGCAAAGCAACACCGTTCATCAATTTCTCTTTTATTCAAATCAAGACCTATGCATTTCGTACATTCAATCAGAATCGGATGAAAACAGAATTTTTATGCTCATATCAGGTAGAATTATGATTGGAACTATTGTTTATAGATATTATCTCTTTACTTTTCATGTAAGGAATGGATGCTGATATGATGAAGCTCTTGTTAGCGAAAATATATCGACTTAAGCAAATCGATTCAATTTTTCCGTACGTAACTAATAAAGAAGTGCTTCAGAGATGTCAACCACTCGAATTGGACTATTATACGGTCATGGGAATCTATAATCAGTCGACTGTTTTGATCAAAGCGGTACTTCAACGGCTTAAAACTGAATATCAACTGAGAGTTCTTCGTAATCCCGATCGATCTTGCATAAGTGTATTGATCAGTTTGACACCAGTGTCACCTGATGATGATCCGATCGGTCTAACGAGATTCTCATGCATCGGTCTCGAGCAAAATTTTACTGGATATCTACATGATTGCCAAAGCGCATACGACTATGTCTGGTTTCAAATGTTCACAATCCTACTTGAAAGAACACCGTGTAACCAACAGACGCGACGAATAATGACTCAATGCTGTCGTGATCTTTATAGGGCGAATGATATAAGTCTCAAACAAATCGATCATTTTGGACGCACATACAAAGCAGACCGAGCTCTCCATTGGTATACGAAGCCAGGCTTCTTTAATATGGTCATCAACAGTGTATTGCGCTCAAATAATGTGGGTGCTTTGTATGTATTTCGCGAACAAATTCTGGACATACGAATGGATCTTGCCGTTAAATGCAAAGAACAGATTAAGCAGTGGCAACGCGATGGTTTTCGTCAGCGTCCTCTTTATCGTGGTACAACGATGGATCATGAGAAGTATCAAGAGTTACAAACGAACTCTATTGACCATTTCATCAGCTTTTATGGATTCCTTTCGACAACATATGATGAAAATGTCGCACAAATGTTTGCTGCATCTGGGGATGAAACATTATCAGCAAAAAACCAAGTATCCGTTATTTTCGTTATCACAGTACCGACTTTGTCTGAGTTCGATGATGACTTGGTGTTCGCCAGTGTGTTGAGTGTAGCGGCTGTTTCTGACGAAGAAGAGATTCTCTTCGATATTGGTACAACATTTAAAGTAGAAAGTACGACCTATGAACCGCAGAATAAAACTTACTATGTAAGGATGCTGGCAACCAGCGAGGGTGCACGTGCCGCCCGTCGTGTCATGTTAGAAAATTGGGTTGAGCTGTGCGATTTAATGGTAAATCGAGTGAACGAATGGTATGATTTCGCCCGTGACGGTTGTAAAGAACTCTTGTCAAAGGAAGATCTGAAGGAACTTTCATGGAATCATGTTTTACAACGCATTGTTTACACAAAAAATCTTATGACAACGACTGCAGCAATCACAAGACAAAGTCCGTTCCAAGCATTGCCATCGAAATCCCGAGTATTAGTTAAAAACGCCGACCGTGGAGTTCTGCAACGAGCCTGGGGTTACATGAAACGACATGTTTTCAGAACAGATCCTAGCGTGTTATATTCTCCGCAGCCTCGAAATGCTGCACAAGCTTACAATACTCGTTTACAACAAGATGTTCAAGTAATCAATACCATGATAGACAAATTCGGAAGGTAGCTCGATTGTACATAATTAAGGATTTGAATATATAATCTCAAAATATAACAATATCGAAGAAAATTCAGACGTGCACGTTGTACTCAATACGATTTGTCAAAAAAAAGAGAACTTCCATATCTTCTCAGGACAAGTTTCAAGGTTTCTTTTCCTTCCGCCAAACATACAATAAGTTTTTATAGTGCAATTCATAGTCAATATAATCCAAACAATGAACGTCTTTTCCCTTTTTATTTTGATAGAGAAGATTATTACTGTCACTAACTTAAAGACATAAACACGGCTGAAACCTGAGAATGAGTCCGATGCCATTGACTAAAAATCGATTTGGTCACTTTCCGATGAACGTCGGGCAATGGCAAAAGACGAACAAACGATATTAGTAGCGGATTGAAGAAAATAAAGAATTACGCATATTGACTGAAAATGGGTACAATGTCGTATGGCACGCCACACAAATGAATTAACATAAGAATTATTGGTGGTAAATTAAAAACGATCAATAACGATGTTATACTAATTAGTTAACTGGAGAATCATCCGACAATATTTTTCTTCATTGATTGTCGTCCAAATTCAGGTGACATTTTTAATGTATTCTCAGTGAAGGAATCTGTGTTTTTCATATGATAAATGTATGGAAAACTCGATATTACCACTGCGTTGGTTTCGATATGACGGTTTACATCTGTCGTAGATGAGTTCAATTTACCTGACTACAAATAACATTGGTTACCAATTTGTGATTCTTGAATAAAAATTCATGACATAGAAGAAATTAATTTCATCAGAAAAATGAATCTTTTCTAAAAGGATGAGCACAGTACTTCTTCACATTGTTCTATTTAATATTTGTCTGATAAAAATCACAGTATAGCTTCTAGATATAAACGAAACGTTTACTCGTCATCATTGTTCGCTGTGTTAGTATCTTCAGTGATTTGAAAAATGTCTTTCATATGTGAAATGGCAAACTTTTTAAAATCATTTTCTTTGCCTCCGTATAAATTCATTAGCAATGGCATATACACTTTCATTGCATTCTCGTTCATAATTTTGATCGCATAATCCTTCCGTGATAAGTCTTTGTTCTCTTCGTGGAAATTTTCAACAGTCTGAACTATTTGATTGTAAATTGGTCGCACCCGATTTTCCATATCTGTGATCTTTCGTAGATATTCGTCTTGATCGACGACTAGAGATCGTAAATCGTCGGTTTGTTCATTGATGACGCACTGGAAGAGATATTTGGGTGACGACAAGCTTGTTCGTGTATGGTGAAGTAATAGATATTTGTGAGTTTTGATCTTAACTAAATAGGACTTCTGATCTGCACCGATAATTTCTACCACATAGCCTTCACCTTCTGTTTCATTCCGTATGTCTTCAACTAATTTTGCATGAGCTAAATCCATTGCTATTTGTTTAAACGATACGACATTTTCGACCATGGTGCTACAATGTTTTTCTTCGAGAAATTTTATCAGTCGATTACCGAATAATGTCACGCCTGTCAGATGACAACGTATAGAAAGTATCCGTAGTTCTGGCTCATTGTAATACAGAACAATTTGATTGGTGGGTGATGTATATTCGAAATTCACTGTTTTGTTATCATGAACAATACTACTGACTTCATCGAAATATTTCCCTGAAAACAAAAGAAAACGATCGGTTATTGAAATGTTTAGTCGAAGCCAACCTTACCTGTTAGTAATTTCATCGCTTCCAATGCCTGCGATGATTTCAGAGATGCTTTCGATTTTAATTTCGTTTGTCCTCTATGCAAATATGTTGATATCAGTGAACCATCGAGTTTTTCCATTTGAATTCCGAGGGCTCCTAAGGGATGGATGTTTACGCCGTTTCCTTCTTCGTAATTAAAGAACTTTTCCGGTGGTAAACAAACGAGTTGGACGTTTTCGGCATCGGTTATATCGAACATTGTTCCACGACAATTCAAAGCCGATGGATAGGAAAATTGTTCATATGAACAGAGGATATAATTGAATATACGATATTTAGTCGAATCACATTCNGTTTTGTTTTTCTTTTCGTGGGAGAGTCACTTGCTCTTTCAACTCGAATAAACGTAGTTATTCTCGTTGAGTCTCTCCTTTTCCTTGATGGTGGATTTGATTTGGATATAGAGAGCTCACACTTCCAGAAAGTATTCTTTAATATGAAGCGATTCTATTATGTTGGTCGTACATGTGTAAGGTGGCGTTTTGGAAGGTTTTTGTACATGATTATTTTCGTAGAATTCTATACGAATGGAACAATGAATGAGGATTTGCGAGCACAGTGTTACTAAATCATGATTAGTGTTTTATTTGCAACAAAAAAGAAAATCCTGCATATGATAAACACGCATTCGTACTGTAACACCGATAAAGTCAGTGCGTGTAGACCTACCAGACATCATTTACAGGTCTCACCCTCATATTCGAGAAATAACATCATCGTTCGGAATAGTTTGGTCAATTGTTGCAATATTGACTGGCAATTGTATATTTTGCTCTTGTTTAACTTGCTTTAGAACGGGTTTCATACAAAAGCGATCGAAACAATGAATGCATATATTAATCGGTACTACAATGTAGTTAACAATCAGGAACCAAAACGCCGTTTGATACAATGTAGCATGACAGTAATCAACTGAATTTGGATCATGAAGATTCACTCGACCTTTGACATGAAAAATCCAATAATTTCCCTGAAGCAAGTTCGAAGTCATACAAGGCGCAAAAGAAAGTAAGTTTCATACTCACTAGAATGAACCACACTATGATAAAACAAGGAAGACAGCATCCACAACTAGCGAGAACAACTATCCAGGAGCATTTACACATGAACACCACACTTTCTCCCCATCCGAAAAAGTGCTCTTCATTGAAAGCATCCAATTTATTCTGAAAAAAAAAATATTAATATTTTATCTAACGTGGACTCCGTGCGCAATTAATAAAATAGTAAAGGGCGTTTTTATCGTTACTGATGTTCTCTACCTGAAGCATTGTGCCAACATACAGAACACCGGACAAAGAATAGTAAACCAATTGGAAAATGGGTATCATCCTCTCAACTGGACACTGGTGAAGATAAATAGCACTGATTACGATTGCAGGTACTGGTAGTAATGCACAACAAGTCGTGAAGATGTATATGATTGTATTAATAGTACCTATAAGCCAGATAGGTAGTCGAGGAGCGTATACATATTTTTTATCAGCAGTGCGGGAGATTGTACTCGGTTGCATTTCATCATTGTTAGCATATAAATGGGCAAATAAGGGCTCCGGTGCTGGCGAAGTCGAATTCGTGTCACTCTTAAAATCATACGATGTGGACGCTTCTGTTGACATTGACTTTAATCGATTGCGTGTGATATAAAGATGAATGTCGCAAAATTACACTTGAAAAACGGAAGTAAATACGCACATGAGTGATCATATTGAAATTTCTCAATCTACCAAGATATTCATCTAATGGCGCATATTTTCTCTCCATTTCGCGCTTACTTAAACACGTGCATAAATAGTCAATACATCGAGTCGATACAGTAAGGTGAAATACGAAAAGAAAAAACGATAACAAAAAATGATAAGAAACGACANCAGATACTACGAATAAAAATATTCTGGTATGGTATGATCCAAATATGTCTGAACATGAAGAATACTATCAACGCATCATTTATGCTCTGAGGCAAAGCAACACCGTTCATCAATTTCTCTTTTATTCAAATCAAGACCTATGCATTTCGTACATTCAATCAGAATCAGATGAAAATAGAATTTTTATGCTCATATCAGGTAGAATTATGATTGGAAATATTGTTTCTAAACATTATCTCTTTACTTTTCATGTAAGGGCTGAATGCTGATATGATGAAGCTCTTGTTAGAGAAAATATATCGACTTAAGCGAATCGATTCAATTTTCCTGTACGTAACTAATAAAGAAGTGCTTCAGAGATGTCAACCACTCGAATTGGACTATTATACGGTCATGGGAATCTATAATCAGTCGACTGTTTTGATCAAAGCGGTACTTCGACGGCTTAAAACTGAATATCAACTGAGAGTTCTTCGTAATCCTGATCGATCTTGCATAAGCGTATTTATCAGTTTGGCACCAGTGTCACCTGATGATGATCCGATCGGTCTAACGAGATTCTCATGCATCGGTCTCGAGCAAAATTTCACCGGATATCTACGTGATTGTCAAAGCGCATACGACTATGTCTGGTTTCAAATGTTCACAATCCTACTTGAAAGAACACCGTGTAACCAACAGACACGACGAATAATGACTCAATGCTGTCGTGATCTTTATAGGGCGGATGATATAAGTCTCAAACAAATCGATCATTTTGGGCGCACATACAAAGCAGACCGAGCTCTTTATTGGTATACGAAGCCGAGCTTCTTTAATATGGTCATCAACAGCGTATTGCGCTCGAATAATGTGGGTGCTTTATATGTATTTCGCGAACAAATTCTGGACATACGAATGGGTCTTGCCGTTAAATGCAAAGAACAGATTAAGCAGTGGCAACGCGATGGTTTTCGACAGCGTCCTCTCTATCGTGGCACGACGATGGATCAAGAGAAGTATCAAGAGTTACAAACGCACTCTATTGACCATTTTATCAGCTTTTATGGATTCCTTTCGACAACATATGAAGAAAGTGTCGCACAAATATTTGCTGCATCTGGGGATGAAACATTGTCAGCAAAAAACCAAGTATCTGTTATTTTCGTTATCACAGTACCGACTTTGTCCGAGTTCGATGATGACTTGGTGTTCGCTAATGTGTCGAGTGTAACGGCTGTTTCTGACGAAGAAGAGATTCTCTTCGATATTGGTACAACATTTAAAGTAGAAAGTACGATCTATGAGCCGCAGAATAAAACTTACTATGTAAGGATGCTGGCAACCAGCGAGGGCGCGCGTGCCGCTCGTCGTGTCATGTTAGAAAATTGGGTTGCGTTGTGCGATTTAATGGTAAATCGAGTGAACGAATGGTATGATTTCGCCCGTGACGGTTGTAAAGAACTCTTGTCAAAGAAAGATCTGAAGGAACTTCCATGGAATCATGTTTTACAACGCATTGTTTACACAAACAATCTTATGACAACGACTGCAGCAATCACAAGACAAAATCCGTTCCAAGCATTACCATCGAAATCCCGAGCATTAGTTAAAAACGCCGACCGTGGAGTTCTGCAACGAGCCTGGGGCTACATGAAGCGACATGTTTTCAGAACAGATCCTAGCGTGCTATATACTCCACAGCCTCGAAATGCTGCACAAGCTTACCATATTCGTTTACAACAAGATGTTCAAGTAATCAATACCATGATAGACAAATTCGGAATGTAGCTCGATTACACATAATTAAGGATTTGAATATGTAATCTCAAAATATAACACTATTGAAGAAAACTCAGACGTGCACGTTGTACTCAATACGATTTGTCAAAAAAAGAGAACTTCCATATCTTCTCAGGACAAGTTTCGAGGTTTGTTTTCCTTCCGTCAAACATACAATAAGTTTTTATAGTGCAATTCATAGTCAATATAATCCAAACAATAAACGTCTTTTCCCTTTTTATCTTGATAGAGAAAATTATTACTGTCACTAGCTTAAAGACATAAACACGGCTGAAATCTGAGAATGAGTCCGATGACATTGATCAAAAGTCGATCTGGTGACTTTCCGATGAACTTCCGGTAATGACAAAAGATGAACAAACGACATCAGCAGCGGATTGAAGAAAGTAAAGAATTACGCATATTGACTGAAAACGGGTACAACGTCGTATGGCACATCACACAAATGAATTAACACAAGATTTGTTGGTGATAGATTAAAAACGATCAACAACGATGATATACTAATTAGTTAACCGGAGAATCATCCGACAATATTATTTTCATTGATTGTCTAAATTCAGCTGACATTTTTTATGCATTCTCAATGAAGTAATTTCTGTTTTTCATATGATAAATGTAGGGAAAACTCGATATTGTCACTGAGTTGATTTCGATATCACGGTGTGCATCTGTCGTAGATGAGTTCAATTGACCTGACTACAAGTAACATTGGTTACCAATTTGTGGTTCTTGAATAAAATTCATGATATAGAAGAAATTAATTTCATCAGAAAAATAAGTCTTTTCTAAAAGGATGAACACAGTACTTCTTCGCATTGTTCTATTTAATATTTGTCTGATAAAAATCCCAATAGCTTCTGGACATAAATAAAACGTTTACTCGTCATCATTGTTCGCTGTGTTAGTATCTTCAGTGATTTGAAAAATATCCTTCATATGTGAAATGGCAAACTTTTTAAAGTCAGTTTCTTTGCCTCCGTATATATTCATTAGCAATGGCATATACACTTTCATTGCATTCTCGTTCATAACTTTGATCGCATAATCCTTCCGTGATAGGTCTTTGTTTTCTTCGTGGAATTTTTCAACAGTCTGAACTATTTGATTGTAAATTGGCCGCACCCGACTTTCCATATCTGTGATCTTTCGTAGATATTCGTCTTGATCAGCGACTAGAGATCGTAAATCGTCGGTTTGTTCATTGATGACGCACTGAAAGAGATACTTAGGTGACGACAAGTTTGTTCGTGTATGGTGAAGTAATAGATATTTATGAGTTTTGATCTTAACTAAATAGGACTTCTGATCTGCACCGATAATTTCTACCACATAACCTTCACCTTCCGTTTCATTCCGAATGTCTTCAACTAATTTTGCATGAGCTAAATCCATTGCTATTTGTTTAAACGATACGACATTTTCAACCATGGTGCTACAATGTTTTTCTTCGAGAAATTTTATCAACTGATTACCGAATAATGTCGCGCCTGTGAGATGACAACGTATAGAAAGTATTCGTAGTTCTGGTTCATTGTAGTGCAAAACAATTTGATTGGTGGGTGATATGTATTCGAAATTCACTGTTTTGTTATCATGAACAATACCATTGACTTCATCGAAATATTTTCCTGAAAACAAAAGAAAACGATCGATTATTAAAGTGTGTAGTCGAAGCCAATCGTACCTGTTAGTAATTTCATCGCTTCCAATGCCTGCGATGATTTCAGAGACGCTTTCGATTTTAATTTCGTTTGTCCTCTATGCAAATATGTTGATATCAGTGAACCATCGAGCTTTTCCATTTGAATTCCGAGGGCTCCTAAGGGATGGATGTTTACGCCGTTTCCTTCTTCGTAATTAAAGAACTTTTCCGGTGGTAAACAAACGAGTTGGACGTTTTCGGCATCGGTTATATCGAACATTGTTCCACGACAATTCAAAGCCGATGGATAGGAAAATTGTTCATATGAACAAAGGATATAATTGAATATACGATATTTAATCGAATCACATTCNTCGCGGATGGCCGGAGAAACTCTATGTTTTATCGGATGGTAAAGTGCTCTATCAAGGTCAAAATGGTCCATCAGGTTATTCCATTCCATCGGTGAATTATTTCTTGAAAAACAATGTTTTGAATGAAAACTGAAAATTTCATTTTTTTATTTTATTTCAATGATATTTTGTATTGAAATCGGTTTGCGTACCGAAGATACAAGATGGAGTGCGTTTCTCGTTGTAAAATAAAAATAAATTTTTGGTTTCGTTTCTTCTCATTCTGTGTATTGATCTTTGATATCAACATGTGAAAAGATGCAGTGTCATAAGGATGAAGGACAAGAAAAAGGGCATTTCATTTCAAGTATACTTGTCATGTATCTCAGTTGGATTGATTATACAGTCTTTGTTTTATTATTAAGTAAATTTGCATTGAAACGCTGTTGATTAACAACTCAATGTTTTAGTTTTCTCATGTGGAATTGGAATCTATCAAGGTTGTATCCGATCGAAGCAAACTTCGACTAAAGAATTTCTTCTGGCTAATGGTCGGATGAAAATTCTACCAACAGCAATGAGTTTACTTGCAAGTTTAACATCTGCTGCATCACTATTGGGTATGCCTGTTGAGTTCTACTATTTTGGATCGATGCTTGTGTATTGCGGTAAGTTGAAAGCGTCTTTGCATGTCATTAGTTTTAATCTTCGACAAAAGTTGTCCCATGGTTTATCGGAACTTATTTAACAATGAAATTTTTCATACCGAAATTTCACTACGTGGGAAATGCAAGTATTTATGCTGTATGTACGCGATTATTTTTTTAAGGGGAATATTTCTAAGTGTCGTTATTGTTACATAGTATCTCGAACAGCGATTTTCATTGACGATTCGAATTCTGGTGACCGGGAGTTTTATTCTGGTCACTGTGAGTAGAAATTGCCAGATTTAAGCATGATTTTGATGGAGACTATCGAAGATTCTTTCCATGGCAACGATTTTGTATGGGCCGAGCATCGCTTTAAGTCAAGTCACGGGTTTAAATATTTGGTTATCCGTTGGACTATGTGGTATAGTTTGTACAGTCTATACGAGTATTGTAAGGAATTTTTTTTAATGAAAACATTCCGTTTCGAAAGGAAAATTTTAGGGAGGAATGAAAGCGGTTATATGGACTGATGTTATTCAAGCATCGATTATGTTTATTGGTTTGACTCTATCAATTATTTTTGGTAAGAGTTGCACGAGAAGAAAACATTGAACTTTACGTTTAATCTAAGGTTTTATTGATCTCGGCGGGGTATCGAAAGTATTCGAAATCGTGAATAATGGAAATCGATTACAATTCGCTGAGTACATTAACAGATAATTCGATGTAATTATATGAATAAATCCATTTAGTATTCGTTTGGACCTATCGATTCGATATACATTTTGGAGTATATTCATTGGTGTGATCTTCTCCAGTACGGCGCAATATGCCTGTATTCAAACTCAAGCACAGCGGTATATGTGTGTTAAAGATACGAAAACTGCTCAAAGAGTTGCATGGACCAATTATGTGATGTTCTTGACGATCAAAATGCTTTGTTTGTGTGTCGGATGTTTGCTATATGCAAAATATAGTCAATGTGATCCAATTCGATCAAAGAAAATTTCTCGGCCAGATCAGGTAAGATGATAAATGGAGGAAGAGAATATGTGATGCGAAACGTGTGATTTTCTAGATGTATCCGTTGTTTGTCATTGAAACATTAGGAAGATTTCCGGGTTTAACAGGTCTTTTTATCGCATGTATATTGAGCGCCACATTGAGTACATTTTCAAGTGGAGTAAATAGTACGGCGACAGTTGTTTTGGAAGATATTTACAAAAGATTGACAAAGAAAGAATTAATCACTAACGATCGACAAGTTCTGCTTTCGAAAATCTTATGTGAGAAAACTTTGATCCTTAAAATTTTCAAAACTTTTCTCGTATAGCCGTGTGTATCGGAAGCTTAACAGTACTGATGGCATTCCTAGTCTCGTTTATGCAAAGCAATATCATCACTGTTAGTATTTACAAGTTTATCTTGGTGTTCATGTCAGTAGATTTTAGATTATCATTCAAATCTTCGGTGTATTTGCAGCTCCTATTCTTGGAATCTATATTCTTGGATTCTTTTTCTCGCGAGTTAAAAGCCGAGTATATACGAGCTATTTTCTTTGATAAAAACATCTGTGAAACATTTGTTTAGAGTGTATGTGTAGCGTTTTTCATTTGTTTAATCTTTCAATTATTTCTACTCTTTGGTTCAATATTTATGCCGATGCCACCGAATAAGAACGGGGGACGACTGCCCACGTCGGTCGATCAATGTATTCCAGCAGTTAATGAGACTGCTTCGACAACCACGACAGAAATGAAGTAATAAAACGAGAGAAAGAGAAATCGATGTATTAGTTTTTTTTGTAATTTAGATCGAATGGGTTAGTGGCTTTATTCTCAATATCACCACTTTGGTTTATATGTATTGGCACGTTAATTACTATTGTTGTTGGACTGATTTTGAGTTTTATTCTCGGTGAGATCCTTTTAACTCAATTTTCCATAGATGGAAAATTAATCGTGTTTTTCTAGATTACAACGATCCAAAAGTGATCGATCCATTGCTATTGGTATCGCCAAAAGATATTCTTCCATGTGTATCATCAAGAAAAGTAAAGATAAAATCGCCCTTTTTCTACACTGAATCTTTTCGTTCTAGGTCCTGGTAGAATCATCAACTGTCGACAAAACCGACAGAATCATCGAGGAAGATATGATGCTTTGATATTTGAATAAACGAATCATTTTCTGCTAATGTTAAGAGTATTTATTACAGGCTATCATCTCATAGCTATAATGCCAAACTCTCATTACAATAAGTTAACGAAACTAATTAGTTGAAAAGAACACGATCATAAACCATCGTGCGCAATGAAATACGAATAGAAAAATACTTTCTTATTTTCTGATGTGTGTGTTCACTTTTCAAGAAGGTAGGTCAAAATCAAAGTCAGTTAGATAGAAAGAATATAAATGGTTCGATCATGATCCGAACGTGCAGATTAATCCACACGACGATCATTAGGATTTATACCTTCTTCTACATATTGGTCATCGCGATTCGCGTCTTCATCCACATGTTCGACATTCATTTGATTAACTGATAACCTGCCAATAATTTCGGTCATACGTTCTAAATTGGAACGATTGCTTGAAGATTTTGTTTTATGAATGGTTAATGCTCTCTTTTGATTGTTTTGAATAAACAAGTGCCAATATCGCGCTGATAGTTGCACTATTATCTCTTTGAATATTCTTAGCTTTGAGGGTAAATTTCAAAGTATTATCATAATCTTTCAATGAGTGACTGGATTCCGTTACTGTCCTGATCGAATCGATATATTCGAAGTGCATCTATGGAATAATCAAATGCACATTGATAGTTTGTTTCTGATAATAGCGATGACCAAGGCAAAGTTCACAAACAATCAAATGTAGACGAATACCATAGTTATCATGTGAGCTAGCGGATAATTGAATAAGTTCCATACTTTAGAAGATTTGCTTTCCTTTTGCTGAATGATCGATAGATCTATCAAAGTCTAAGTTGTTTATGCCAAGAGTATAACCAATATTATCATTAATCAAAGCGATGTTGATATTATCGTTGTCAAAGATAAGTAACGCGGCCTGGTAGCCGCTAAACCCTCTACTGAAAGGATAGTATTAGAGCGCTACTATTCGTCCAAAGAGAGAAAAAAGTTATTTTAGTTGAAAGATCTGATCATTTGTCAGAATGTTTTACTTAGACCAATTTCGCTTCCTGAAATCTTCTGAAATTATAACGCCTAGTCGTTTGTCGGCCGTTCGCGGCTAGCCGTTACATGTATATTATCCGACATGTTTCGTCTTCGCTCTAGAGACGCTTCAGGTGGATTAAAATATTTTGATTTCATTCTAGTTAAACAAATTAGAAGAGCGTACCACGACCGGTTTCGCCCTTGCTCGAGGATCTCTTCAGTTGGCAATTAAATCTTACTAATAATTAATCACAGAACCAAATTATTCTGTGATATATTATGTTCCGAAAGACGGAAGTTGTAGTGCTCTTTGATATATCTAATGAGGTTGGTGACTTCTAAAACGAATTACAGACAAATAGTTATGCCTTTGAATTAGGTTTATAAGTTCTGTCCTTTCAGTCTAGGAAACCAGTTATTCTCCTTGTACAATACCAATCCAATTTAATTTCCATTTTCGTATCGCTAAGCGTTCCATTGAGTATTGTTTGGGTTCTCGTCCAATGTCTGGATAAAGAAATATGGTGAAGCCAGTTGATGTTCCTCTATAGATTGATGTCATTCCCGTGGTTGTCCAATGTTCACTGTCACCAGAAAGACTGGTAAAGTAGGTTGGCATTTGATTGAAGTGACATGAAGTTGTATTGATATACATCATTAGCCCAGATGGGCCTTGATTGAAGGGCAACCATTGATCAGAATTTGTTGTACCATAGCAGAATTTGGGTAGCTTTTTAATAGTTTGCTCGTGTTCACTAATCTTTTTCTCTTGATCATTCAACTTTTGCTGTATGTTTCCAATCTGTTGCTTTAAACCATTGTAAAAGTCAACTGACGTATTATTCCAGAAAAAGGAATCGTCCATTGCATAAACAATCATATAAAAATTTGCCACCGATGAAATAAACAGCAGGATACGTAGCTGCATGTTTGGAATGTAAGAATCAGTCTCGTTTTACTCCCGCTATTTTATACAATACAAAACCACTTCCCAGATGACATTGCTGTCTGTAATTGAATAATATATGTATACCAATTTTTTTTGTTGTATTCTTCCGCGGAAAATGGTTATTGGTCAAAGGTTAAACCTGAGTTTCGCCGAAAAATAAAAATGTCGAAAGTAAAAATATCGATTGATAATAACACCGAAAGATAAGCGTCGAAGTGTTAAAATATCGAGATTTGAAATGTCGAGACCGAGAAATGTCGAAAGATGGCATATTAGAATGCCAAAAGAAAATATTTTTGTCGTTTTGGTAATTGATGTTTTACTAATATAATACATGAGATTTTAATCAACTCTTTATAATATAATGACTTGAACTAATAATATATATAGATTTAATTTAATTTTAGAAATTTTCGATCTTTTATTTTTATGGTAGTGCAGCTCAAAATCATTTTGGGTTATGATTCAGAAAAGGTAGTGATGTGCAGGTTAACCTGAAATTGATCGAAATGTTAAAATGTCGAAAGCAAAAATATCGAAAATCAAACCATCGAAAACAAAGAAGAGAGTGCAGATAGATGTGTAAGATTGAGGATGAGGGTGAAGAACAATACCTTTCTCAAACTAAATCATTCGCACCTTGTCCATTTTTCGATGTTTGTATAATTTGCGTATTCGATATTTTTTTATTTTCGATCTTTTTAAATTCGATATTTTTACTTTCGACATTATTCAGTAGAATCGATGTGCAATTATGATGAGAGGATGAGGTAATCGTTCTAAATGTTCTTTTTCTGTAAGATTTGTCTTTATTGATATAGATTCTTTTTTTTGTTCGTTGGTTAGACACATATATTGGTGATGGTAGGGTAGTGCTTTTTGTCGTTCTGTTGATATATGATATAGATATGTTATTTTCTTTCGTTTCTGTTAGATGAAGTATGTGTGGAAGAGAATGGAATGAACTAGTAGCGCTCGTCGAGGCAGACTCGCTATACCCTCGACTGAATTACTGACTGAAAATACAATAGCCTTATGTGCATTTTATGCAAAAAAAGACAGAAGTATAACCTTTGAAGGGGCCCCCAGAAACTGATCTTCATTCACCTCACAGTCTTCGAAAGAATCAAAAGAAAACTTGTGTTCCTTTTAATTATTCCATATTCCTGACTGACAATCACTGTTCACAGGAAGCAGAGGTTCGCTACAAATGACTATTATGGATTTGCACCTTACACACATCCTCCTTTTTCTAAAAGAAAGATAATTTCAGTAAGACCAAATGAGACTCGGTATAGATTTTGCATTCGAACGTGTCAGATTGTTTATACTTTTGTAACTGGCTAGATTACCAGGCGCCACTCACAACTCGCCGCTCCAAAGCTGTCCCTATCTATCATATAATTACCCGTGTGCTACTAAAAAGTATCGAAAACTAATTAGCATTCTATCAGCACCTCATAGATAAAATTATCCTCGTCCGAACATTTGAGGCTATCTCCTTAATTAAAAGGCTTAAAGGCCTACAATAAGTTTCAATATATCGAAGCTCAGCATTTAAGATTGCTCTTCAGTATGTAACTTGTGAATGAATGTATTTTTGGATTACTGGCCTTTAGTATGCGACAGTCAACCGAGTGTGTTTTTACTTTTTCGTAATCAACTCTTCTATGTAGCCCTCCTCTCAGGTGCAGATGAAATGTTTTCTTCATTTCTGCCACGTCCCTGCCCCTTCACTCCTCCCCTCAACCAAGATCTAACCTCAACACCCCTCCAAAACCATGTGTTATGTAGTTTTGAGCCTTTTTCAAGGAAATGTTTTTTTGATCTTTGATCTCTGACCCTGGCACAGACAGACAAACGTGCAAACTATGTTTTTTCGTATGACCCCCTTTCAATCGAGAGAACAAGAGTCAGATTTCTTTTTATCTATCTGTAGATCGAAGAGTTAGAAGTATTTTCATAAAAAAACTTCCCCTCAAAGAACTTCCAAATTAGATAAAAACAAAAAATAAAGTGAGCAAGTGGCTATTGTCATACTAAATGTCCCGACAGATTTTTTACTTTATTTTCTTTATTTTTCAATAACTACACGAGATTTATCGACGATTTTTTTACCATTTTAGGCTCACTGTCTGGTCAACGTGCCATAGAAATATTAGCTCTTAAATAAATATCGTTCATAAGAAACCGATATTTTTTCCAAAAAATGTCCCAACAGATTTTTCGTTTCGAAATGTCATCAATGATCATTTTAACATATTTATTGAAGACCTCTGATAACTTTGATGATTAGAATGCATATTTCTTCTTCTCTATACTCTTGTACAATAAATATGGTTCAACTGTAGTTAAACTTTATCTCTACGACTTAATTACTTAGCGAATAAAAACAAACGTTTTCTTTTTATATATTTCATTTCGATTTACTATCGTCGAAATGGTGCCTACAGAAAACAAACAAGGTAGAAATGCTGTATATCGTTACAAATATCACCAGAAAATTAAACTAAAACGTTTACAATCTGAAGAGTTTGATGAAACGTATAGAAAAAAAGAAGCGGCGAGAAAGGCATTGCACCGAGCAAAATAGAAACAGCAACGTCTATTAATGTCATCTCGGTCAACAGATAAGCCCACGAGAGCTAGTCGTCGAAATATGGCAAAATTAAAGAGACAGTTGAAGAAATTCCAAAAATTAAATACACAATTAGAAACAGAAAATAAAAAGCTGAATAGGCAGCTAGCCTCTTTATCATTATTATCAGAGCCATCTACAACAACTAATTCAGCAAGATCATCACCATAAAAACTTTTTCTTCAGAATCTTCTTCCAGGTGCTAAACGTTTTGCAACAACAAGTCTAATGTCTAAAAAAGAAGCTTTACCACGAGGTACTATAATAAGCATCCGAAATAAATTCGGTATTAATGTAAGTGCTCGACTTTTTTAAGCATCGTCTACTATGCTAAAATATTTATTCTTTCAGATATCGAAACAGAATTTACCTTCAACAATAACCAAATCTTCATCACAACAATTGAGTGATGCTGTTGAAAAATTTCTTAATGATGACGAAATCTCACGATTGACACCGGATAAAAAACGAACAATAGACGGAAAGCAAGTTCGATTATTATTAAATCACTTAGTTAATCTTCATCAAAGATTTGTTGTGGAGACAAATTATGATTGTTCGTATTCAACTTTCACCCGGCACATTCCATCTTATCTTGTATCACCTAAACCTAATGAATGGGGGAATTGCCTGTGTATCGTATGTTTGAACCCTCAAATTAAATCTGAGAAAATCCATCAGTTGAAAAGCAAATATCCCATTTTAAACTATTTGTCATCTATGATAACAACTGAATTATCATTGATAATTAATGATGATGATAAAATCAATAAAATTTTATAGAAGAATTAAATTCGTTAAAACAGCAAATATTCATGATAACATATGTAGAATGGATTAAGACAAAGAGTAAACGCGGTAGTGGTCTTATTTTGACAAAAACAGATAAAATGGAGATGTTTTGCGCGAAATTCAGTAAAGAAATATTTGTGAGTATTTTCATGGAACAACTGAACGGATGACTAGTTTCCATTTTGATTATTTATCTAATATTTAGAAACTTCGAGAACATCTAGAATTTGCTCATGCTCAATTTAAAGGTGCTAAACTTATTCGACAATCAGCATTAACAAACAATTGTGTTGTAGCTATACAATTAGATTGATCAGAGGATTATCATTTGAAACAAGCACGTGAAGAACGATGTAAGTTGTACGAAAACTACAATATACGACTAGGAACAGATCAGATTTTTTCGTTTTAGCTGCGTACTATTATGATCAACACATTTCTCTAGCAGCAGGATTTGTTTTGCAAATGTCTAATTGTTTCAATTTCGGATGTTTATCTGATGAAACGAGTCACGTATCTGAATGTACGTAGGTAGCGATTCGTGAGTTGTTAAATGAATTATTAAGTGAGCAAGCTGGTAAACGAATTACTGAACTAAATATTATTTCTGATTCACCTGTTAGTCAATACAAAAACAAAACTACAATTTATTTTTTAAAGAAGTATGCCAAAAGTAGAAGAGTCAGAATGAGATGGTTGTTTCTTGAGAGTGGACATAGCAAAGACATTGCAGATGGCCTTGGTTCCGTCATCAAAAGATTGTTTGATAATGTGATTAGATTAAACCCCGATGAATCATTTAAAGGTGCCAAGAAATTAATGAATAAGATAATAAATTCTACAAATATTCGCCTGTATTTCTACAAGAAAGAAGATAGTGATGCTTTACGAGAACGAATACCACCATTAACAACAATTAAAGGAACATCTATGTTCCACGAAATTATTGCCAAACCAAATGGAGAAGTATTTATCAAGCAAAAATCTGTTGAACCAGAAATTTTATTAAAAACAAATTTCTAGTTGTTCAAAACACCATTAATGATGTGCAACTTCACAACAGTACAAATGAATGAAATAACTTATATCTCCACGTCTTCTATGTTAATGAATTATATTGCAAGTGAAATGTTGGACACATAAGTCAACCTTTTAGCACTTTTAACGCTTTATCTACTGAGAAATAAAATCTGGTACTGTTGATACTTCAGATCTTCATTTCTCTTATGAAAGAAAGCTCAGAAGAATTCGATCGTGTAACATGTTGTTAAGAAATAGAAAACTTCCAACAGTAGTAATAATATTATATGGCGAGATGCCCATACATTTGCATATGAGAGCTTCTACGTATGCGAACTTAATCATCTTTTTCAAAACATCTCAATCGATAAGAAATACAGATGAAAAAATTGTACTAAGAAATAGTATTTTAGCGGAGGACCAACGATAATCAACTTTTTCAGAAAAATCGACTTTCCTGGAAACAAAAGGGCTGACAGTTGGGAAACTATGTGGAATACATGTCACTAGTAGACCTCTATCAAATGTGCTATTAACGTTTTCTTTATATCTACTTTCATTTTTTTCGATTTTTTTCTCCAAACGGTACAACGATAGCGCAATTCACCCATATATATCTTTATTTTCAAGGTGAAAACTTGTTTTTTTTATTTTGTGTAATTAAATATACCTTTTTATTTTTCCATGGAAATTTAATATTATAAGAATAGGCAATGTATATAGTACCGCTTAATCACACAATATCGAGTAAGAGTCAGACTTTTGTTATTTAACGGCCTAATTTTCGTAGAAATAACATTTATAATCATTTCTTAAATTTCATCTAATCTAACAACTTTATTTTTTTTTATTACCGTGATTTTCCATGGCTGATTTCATATTCATAATATTCTTATCGTTATGCTGCATCTTACATCTCAGTGAGTATCGATTCTCTCTTGTAATAGAAAATTCCCGGTTCTTCCATATAACGATTTCGAACAACGGATTTTTTTCAAAAATCTTTCTACCTCTAGGACATTTTCCCAAAAAGTTTATAATAAATACTTTATATTTCTCAGAATATTTGCACTTAAGAATGTGAATTCGAATTTCCAAATTCATTCTCATCTTCAGATTCATCTAGTAAAAACAATTAAACGTTTGAGATCGATTGGAAACAAATTAAAATTTCTTAAAATATCTATTTTTATGTATATATTTAGCTTCAGCAGCTGCTGCAGGATGGTGTTATCAATGTAATTCGAAGAATCCTCGATGTGGAATGCATATAGATCCTTCAATGAAAGTTGATAAAACACCTTGTAATGGTCAATGTTACACTTATATACGTAAAAACAGTAAATACTATTGAAATTACCTGAAATATTATTTTAATCTAAAACATAATATAAATTTTGTTTTAGTTGTGTACCGAGGATGTTCATGGGAACATGGTTTTATGACTCCACAAATAACGGAATATGCTACTGAAGAAAAAGACGGATTATGGCGATTTTGTAACACATCATTGTATGTTCGTTACTTCATTGAAGACTAATTTTAATTATTAATTTTCTAGATGTAATTCTGATGGAAGTTCACTAATAAGAGGTATATACCTTCGATTATATATTTCAAAAACCTATTGAATTTCGGAAAAGTTTATTCATCTTTGAAAACAAAATTGTGCATATATCATAGTAGTTACTCATATATTTGTTTTTTAGAAAGTTGCGATAATCAATTATGCGAATATTTTGATCTTCCTGAAAACTGTGAATCGCATAATCTCTATACCGTATGTGGTAAACAGTGTGGTAATCAAATGTGTTAAAGTATCGATGGAAAACTTATTCTAATTGCTTCGAACGTAGAATGATTTCCGTTTTTTTCATCAGTTAATAAAGGAATAAGCAAATTATATGTATTTTCATACTTCTTTTAGGAAATCATTCAACTTGACTAAACTTTTGAAAAGAATTGTTGTAAAAACATATTTTGTATATCTTCGAATCATTAAAAAGATAGTTCATCTGTATAATTCAGGTTTTACTCAAACTAACCATAAGGTTCTTACATTAACAAAAAATTAAATCACATTATATGCCTGCGAATAAATAGAAAAATAAGATAATGCTAATGTACAAGTTAATTCTATGTTTTTACAACACAGTCTATTGAACGCTGGATGACTCACAAACAGAATCTTTTTTCCCGTTGTATATCGATCGATTATATTCTCGCTCTGAGTTATGTACTGTAGAAAACGTTTGATTATCATAGTATTTTATCAAACTTAAAATGTATTTGTTGAGACATTGTGCAATTTATTTCTCTATTTTTCTCGGAATTTTGTCTAAAAGAGTATTAAATCTAAGACTCGAAATAAAATGACAAAGTCCGATACAATTGTATGCCGTATTAAATCAAACTGCAATATGAAACTAATCTTCAAGGTCACAATAATAAATTAATGTAATAGATATTGTTTTCTCACTATTTTGAGGATTAAAGGACAAAAAGATGTGATATAAATGACTTTATCAATCCCCTATTACTATTACTATCATCAAACGTAAGTTGTTTTTAACGATTCTGTAGTAAAAACTTAGTGGAATCCTCTCTAAAGTTTTAGTTCGAGCAACTATACTCATCGTCACAGATCTGACAATGCATCTCAAATTTATTTTTATTGTCGCTCTTATGACACTTTTTATTTGCCTAAACAATTTTCCTTTGGTAATGGCTGAAGACAAAACTGAATCACCAATAGCGGAGGATTACATTTCTGCAAATAAAAAGGGTAGTATCAGGAGCGAGTTTCCGTCACAATGGCTAAAAAAATCACTCGCTGATATCTTTGCGGCAGCTAAAAAGGGTGATAAAAGTGCTCAAACAGCTCGCAAACTCTTAACAGACAAAAGATTTGATAAAAATGCAAAACAAAAATAATTTATTGTTTATTTCTGTCAATTAAATTTTCTAACGAAATAAACAAGACATTCTCAATTTGCTCTAAAGTTTTTATAAAGCTTAACAATTAGTCTATTTACAATGTTCTGTACTACTTCTGAGAGTGTAGGTCAATGTAGTAGTTATGGTATGTGATAGTCATGATATCAATTATAAGATTTTGAAATGATTCACTTTAATATTCATCATAATTTTGTTGACTTTTACAAGAAAATCTTATATAAATCATTAATTACAAGTAGTGTTTATCTAAAGATTGGATTATTTTTTTTCTATTTAATAAATATACATAAATTAGACATTAAATTCAACTAAATGAATTATATTGCAAAATCGAATGAACGATTTTATCATCTTTATAACGTGTAGAATTCTATACTTATACATTTGAAATCAAACAATTATTTTTTATGTGTTGATTTCTTTTTTTATGTTCGAAATAATTCTTATAGAAATTCGTGACATTGAATATCTGATTAGACAAGAAAGTGAGGACTGCTGCAAATATCATCTCAAAGTTTTATCTCAATCAGAAATAAAAGATAGGATTCGAGCTTTCATTCTCATACTGAGAACATCATCAGGAACGACTGCATGAAAAGTTTATTGAGTGAACTACATTAAATTATCACAACAAGAAAGAAGTGAATAAATAAACAGGAGATATCTATGAGAATTCATCTTTAAACAATTGTTCGCGATAATTGACTGATTAGTGATGCTAGTTTTGTTGACGTTGTTGGTGTTGTTAAGGCATCAATAAGATGTGTTAATGAAATGGATATCATTTCAATTACTTTGTGAGAACATAACTGATCACAAGAATGATGAGTATTGTGAGAATGAGTCAATATCATTGACTCTTTTTACTGACAAAGAAACGTAAATTGACATAATGAAAGAAACTAAAAGTTATTGAGACTGTAGGTTTAATCGATGCAATAGTGTGAGTTATTGCTGTTGAGAATGTCAATATGAATAGATGGACTAACGTGAAGACTAATACTCGATTTCAGAGAATTATGAACATGCAAGTCCGGTGAAAGTGATGCAGCCCACTTATTTGTAAAATGTGTAATACCAAGTCTGGCAGATGAGATTAATCAGACAAGGTTCTTATTTGATATGTAACTGAAGGTAAATGGGCTGAGCTTAAGAGTGGACTGAGTTGTTCATGAAATAACATATAGAGGTGTGATCAATGAAATATTTGAACCTCAGCTTTTTTGTTATTGAACGAGGTCAATATAGATAAGATTGACTCGATGTTAATGAGTATGGACATGAATGATACTGATGAATTTTGGTAAGAATGAATTGATCTTCACAAGTGTGAACATGAAAGATACTGATAAATTTATGAGACTGACTTCTTTTTATCACCATTGAGTAAATGAAATAGGAGATCGGCTGATAGTGGTGAGATTATCATTATGGATAGATGAACAAAACTTCTTAGGTTGACTTATGCTCAAAATTGTTGATGAGATTGATAGTGTGAGTGAGACTGAGTTCTATTAAGGATATATCATGTGAGTAGGTGGACTGATGAATCAATAAGACTGAATCATATGATAATAACTTACTTGTGAGTATGTGGAGGGTGTCGACTCTGATGTTAAAGTGGAGCACGTCTCACAACATAACACAACATAAGATTATTTTCAAAAATCTAAATAAAACAAATGAGATATACTACGTAAATGAATGAAACTAAATTGTGGTCATGACTTATTTGAATCTATGTGGAGAATGTCGACCCTGATGTTAAGGCAGAACACTTCTCACAACATTTCATCAAGTCAGTGCATTTTAAATATGAATGTATACAAGACTATTGGGAAAAAAAAAACAAAAAAAGAAAAGAAAAAGAAGAACTAAATTTCTGCAGGTGAATGATTTCTGTAATAGCGCATTTCTCTTAACGTTGATTTTCTTTCTATTTCTAGTTATGGACGATGTCTATGCAACGACATGAATGGTATGTTTTACGTTATTTATTGATTTTCCTAAAGCTCTGCTTGATAAAATACTTTCTTTTATGACACGCTTTCTCCAATCGCTTTCTAACGCTAGTGTTTGAGCATTCACAAAGTCAAATTGATGTTTATGTGTCAAAACGTGCTCTACTAATTCAGATTTAGTTGACAGAGTCCTAATATTCGCTTTATGCTCTTTCATTCGAGTTTCTTTCAAACGACTTGTCTCACCGATGTACACTTTTTNAAGGTTCTTCCCTCCGATACACGCGAAGATCCTTTAATGGTTCTGTAGAAGTTTTTATTGCGTTTTTGTAATCGTGAACCTGTCTGGAGACTTTTTCGTAACCACGGAACTTCTTTTTAGAATGTTTTGTAGACAATGAAATTGGCTTTTACATGGCTCTATTCGCTATCAGTGATATAGAATACTGATGTTTTGGTTCGATTGTGCCAAAACAATCATTCTGATAAGCATGAAAATCAGAGAAAATAATATATATATGGAGACAATATTGCGTGAATTAGCAGCACTTGGAACAATGGTGGTAGTATAAATAGGAAGAAGGCCACAACAGTAATTGCAACAATAAACGACGTCGTCGTCGTGGTCGTCGCCACCAAACCCGTTGCAATCAGTGTAGGAATATACATCATTACTACTACCATCAATAGCGTTATTATAACTAGAATTACTATAGTTATAACCGGGACAATTACAGCCAAGATAAGCCACTATAGCACCATAATAACCAAAGGCACGAAGGTTCGTTATAGTATAATCAGGATAATTAGCATTACAATTTGGATTATTCCCACGACTACAGTGACTAGTATTACAAGCAACAGTAGAATTATTAATATCAAGATAATTAGGATCATAACACACACAATTCTGTGGTTGAACGGTTGGAACATCAGCTAGACTTGTTTTGATGAGCAACAAACTTATAGTTATTAACGTGACTGTAGACAACATGTTGTATCGCATTGTGATACGCAAAAATGAATAAAAAACTAAAGAAGAATGGTGATAATTTCTATAACTATAGGTGTTACTATTTATATTCTCATGCTATTTTTTTCCTTTCTTTCTTATCTTGTGTTATCTTTCTCTCCAAAGAACACACAAAATACATTACAAAACTAATAATCCAAATAGTAGTCAGTTTTGTGATGGATTTGACTATAAGAGACGAAAATAGTGGCACAGTAGCGTTAGTAGGTGTTTTGCGAAGAGTATAAGAACGTTTTAGATTTCGTCAAATATTGATTCTTCATGAATATTAAGTATCCACTAAAACAGTTCGACTGGGTGAAAAGCGATATTAGACGTTCAGCAAGTTCATTAATGGTTTGATCAGCAGCTGGGTAGAAGCAAAACTGCAGGGTATCCAGTTGAACTGGATACATTCAGTCCTGAGTGGTACTCAGTCCTATTGCTCTTCGACCCATCAATGAACTTGTTGAATATCTAGTATTGCCGTTAGCCCAGTCGCATTGGGTGTCCGATCCACCAGTCACACTTGTACTGGGTGTACACCTAATGAATACAGAGGTATGAGACTGAACAAATCTGACCATTCGCCAGCAACACTCCTAGTTAAATGTATGACAGCTCTCAGTTCGTGTTTCTTGAGCGATATTCATTTCCAATCATTTGTGGAACAGGTTCCAAAAGAAATTATTGCAGCATTTAACAGTAGAAATGTGGATCTATCTCTCGAGTCCTCCTTGCAGACCGCAACACAAAGTTTGTGTTATAGTTCACCATTGACAAAACTATTGGTGCCCATTAATCATAGAGCTACTCACATCGAGAGTTATAATAAACCGTGCGACTGAGCCATTACTGGTACCATAGCAGTTAAGATATTCAAAAACCTCTAGCCGTCGCAGAACGAGACAGCGGTTTACACATTGATTTCGGCGATGAGGAAACCGATAGTTTTCTACTGCTGATAGCATCAATTCAATATTTCTTTCAAGTTTTTAGAACGCTATGGAAATTAACAGTGAATCGAATCAACTTATGGCTGAAACTAAGAAACAATCTAAATGGTGGCATCATCGTCGAACTAAAATAATTGGGCTTTCCTTTATAGTTTTGATAATTCTCACAATTTCTCTAGCTTTGATTCTAGAGTTTTCTATACATTCTCCAAAAGACTTATACAGCACAACTACCACTACAGTTCAACCACCCGGTAAGATTTTGGGTAAATTTGATTAAGCACACGTAATAGGAAGCAGCGCTGGAACCGGTCCGGTATTCCGGTACCGGTCCGGCCGGACCGGTGCCGGACAGGACCGGACCGGTAGAAAAAATCAACCGGGCCGGTAAAAACCGGAAATTCACCGGTTGATATTTATGAAAAAAAATTTTTTATCACAGTGTATCTTCCAAATTTCTGTATGGAGAAGGTAAAAAAATACATTATCAATATATCTATATAGACCTTTTCCCAATTATCGGCAAAGTAAATTAATAATAAAATTTGAAGTTATATCTCTTAGCCTAGAAAAGAAGAACATGAGAAAAAACTACGTTCTCTGCAGTGCTAACTTATTTCGCATTTGAAAATAATCTTTTATAAAAAACGTTTTTTACAAGTAACACCGTTTTTTGCCGGAATTTTACCGGTTGAACATGGGATAGGAGCCGGCCGGACCGGTCCGGTAGAATTTTTCAACCGGCCGGACCGGAACGGTGGGAATATGTTCAACCGGCCNCATGAGAAAAAACTACGTTCTCTGCAGTGCTAACTTATTTCGCATTTGAAAATAATCTTTTATAAAAAACGTTTTTTACAAGTAACACCGTTTTTTGCCGGAATTTCACCGGTTGAGCATGGGATAGGAACCGGCCGGACCGGTCCGGTAGAATTTTTCAACCGGCCGGACCGGAACGGTGGGAATATGTTCAACCGGTTCCAGCCCTGATAGGAAGTCGTTGAATCAAATGATTTCTCAAAGAGTTCCTACTGTTCGGATAGGAGTATCTTTTCCTGAGAGTTCTCTCGTAAGAATTCTCTTGTCTTTTGTAAAACACGATTTGAAAGAGAGTGTTGAAGTGTTTGAGGGCAGAAACTTGAACCCACCTCTCTCCTTCCCTCCCCCCCCCTCCACAGACGTTACAGACAGGCACAATGATCCCATGTTGACGGTGCGAATGTGTGAGGGTGGTTTATTTACACATCGAGCTTATCCACACTCATCCTCATTAACCTACACTCTGTATGCATTTATCTATGAAAATTATTACAGATAATTCAGATTTTCGGAATAATGTAAACACAGAATATTTCTCGATCAAAAATCTACGTTGCAATGATACAAATAAGTTTATCGTGTTTCATTTTTTTAATCCCGCAAGGGATTGCGCTGAAAGCTTTTGACAAATAATACGAAATCTCTCATATCTCTTCACTTTCTGCTATATTGTTTGGGGAAAAAGAGCGTTCCTGAATGTCCGAAAAGGTTCTATCTATGATCAAAAGTATCCAAATGTATGGAAAAAAGTAAACAAAAACGAACATTAAGATTCAGAGAACCTTGAGGGTATGGACTTGACAGGTTCAGGACACTTGCTGTTCCTATTCCCAAGACAGCAGTGCTCATACTTGGTCGCAGTCACAGCTACAGCCTCACTCTGTTAAGTGAGGCTTTTTGAGAGGAGGGGCCAAATTTACAAGAGCTGTCCGAAGATGGTTCTGAGATTTTGATGTTCGATATCTCGTTGGAAAGATCATAGCGTGTATATATAGAAGCCAAAACATCAGCATAGTATGTGGATCAGTTAGTGGAGGTATCTGAAAGGACAATTTGGCACTCTTAAACAACTTTGATTAAATTTTTCCTATTTCTCACAACTTTTCGTTTGATGAATTAATTCTCTTCATGTAGTATGGTATGCTACTGGAAATATGAATACTCGACGAGAAAGGCATACAGCAATTTTGTTGAAGAATGGAGAAGTACTAGTTACTGGTGGTTCCGATGGTAATTACTGCGTATCTACTAGTGAGCTATATAATAAAAGAACATGCAATTGGACAATTACTGGTAATATGAGCCTAGAACGATGTGAGCACACAGTATCTATGTTAACGAATGGAAAAGTATTAGTTGCGGGTGGTGACTCAAGTGGCGCTGAATTATATGATGCCGTATCAGGCATTTGGACAGCTATTGAAAACATGAAAACGGTACGAATTGGACATACAGCATCGATATTAACAGATGGGAAAGTGTTAGTTGCTGGTGGGGAGACTCACAGTGCTGAAATATATGATCCAGTAACAGAAAATTGGACAATGACTAGTAGTATGCATCGTCCACGATATCAACATACAGCTGCTGTGTTAGCTAATGGAACTGTATTAGTCGCTGGCGGTTCAAAAACTGTATATGAAGGCATTACGAATACCTGTGAGTTATATAATCCAGTCACTGGCATTTGGACAGTTACTGGTAAGATGAATCAGCGACGGATGCAACACACTATGTCGGTATTAGCAAATGGAAAGATACTAGTTACTGGTGGGCTGAGTGATGCGCGACAGTATCTCAAAAGCGCTGAATTATACGATCCATTGACAGGAATCTGGAAAACTACTGGTAATATGAGTTTTCCACGCGCTAAACACACAGCATCCACATTAAGAAATGGAAAAGTGTTAGTTTCTGGTGGATTAGGTAGTAGTTTAGTACGATACAGCACTGAGCTGTATGATCCATCAACAGAAATATGGACGGTTGCTAATAATATGAACAAGGAACGATATTTTCACACAGCATCCGTGTTAGAAAATGGAGATGTACTAGTTACTGGCGGATTTCAAGGTTATAATAGTGCTGAACTGTATGTTTCATCAGGAGAAATTCCAGTAGTTATCACTGAAACGACTTCGTCGTCAAACGCTCACAAAGTACTAGTGACCAAAGAGAAAACGTTAAGTAATGATCGGTACAAAAATGCCATTGAGAACTATAAAAACTTGTAAGAAGTTCAAAACCAATAAAAGAACGAATATTTTTCAGCATTTAATATGATTAGTTTCTGCCTTGCTATTTTATACGACAAGTACATCTGCTTTATTTTAATACATATTACGGCTTGTTCAAGCGTAACGGTGTGACATTTTTTTTTCGAAAAGTCATTATTGTCTTTTTATTCGATCTTAATTTACTTTGACATGTATCTGACCGCTAAAATAAACATTTCTATACCTCTGCTGTCGACAGATAACATAAGTCTTTATCAATACCTTCCTTTTGTTCGTCGATCTTTTGTGTCTTTTATCTTGATAAAGAGTACATCTCACTTTTGACACACAAGTAACGCTCATCCTTTGGATTCGTCGATCTTTTGTGTCTTTTATCTTGATAAAGAGTACATCTCACTTTTGACACACAAGTAACGCTCATCCTTTGGATTCGTTGACCTTTTTCTGAAAGACTTTTTCGAATGCTGAACACATTCAGAGACTTCGAAAGAGAAAAAACGCACTGCGATTGCTAATAGTGCTCAACTGAATCATGGCACTATGTCACACACTAGAATGAATAAGATGCAAAAGTCTTTTTAGGAATCAGATCGATTAGTCATTTGTCAGTGGATAATTCTCCAGCACTAACTATGTTAACTGGAATATTCATCACTCAACGGCTAGTCAGACGGCCGCTCACGGTCAACCATTGACCCTTGTCATCTGTTTTTCTATTTTCACATTACGCGCATGGAAATTTTCATAAATGCTTTACTAATTAACTCATAGATGGATGATATACAGTAGACTACTTGAAAAGTTGGAACATTCGCCTGTGTCTTCCAGCGATAAACCAATTCTGTTCTCTCCTGTCAACAAAATTATACCTTGTCGAATATTTTCATTGAGGAATATCCATTCGTCAAATCCCTTTTGAAAATTATCTGAAGCCTGGCAAGGATATTCTAAGCGTACACTTTAGGATTAATCTAGCATTTAAACGCCTAGTCGTTCGTCGACTTTCCTTCGGTCGGTCACTCGCAGCTAGCCGTTTCCATGCTGTCTCTGTTATTCCTTTCGCCTTCGATCGACTTTCAAGCTGAACGATTGGGTTTTCTTTTATTGTCGCTTCGACAGTCATGATCTTCTATTCATTCGACTACCCGACGAAACTAGATAAGAAAGTCTTAAAAGCAAATATGATACTAACTTAAGCTCATATCACTTTTTCGGATTTCTTGAATTAGAAACATCATTATGTACAATGAATTAGATCTTTTCGTGTAAGTTCTTGAGCTACTATCTTTGCACGCATGACGCCGTGAATAGCGTTCAGGTCACCATCTTCTACAAATGATTTCAGAACAGATAAAGAAAAATATCTCCTTTGTAAAGAGGAAGGAACAAGTCTAGGCTCAGCGAATAAAAACGAAATTCACCCTCAAATTCCAATTTCCCGACGTCAGAAATACTTCGATCTACTCTGACAATGGATGTTAATAAGTCATGGCCAGTTAATGAAAAACTAATAATTAATTAATCAACACTAATCTCAGATTCAAGTTCCCCGACCTCGATTACCCTACCGGTAATCATTTTCTAACAAATATCGATCAATTTCATTGATTTTAGAAACGCTGATTTCTGATTGGATAGGACAGACAAACAAACAAACTTTAAGCTTTTTAATACAGCATTTAAACGCTGTATAATTCTTTCTTTCAGAAAAGGGAACAAATACATTAGATATAGCACTACCAGAAAACATCATTAACAATTAAAGTTCGTTTGTGTAAAGAGATGTAAAGTAAATAGAAATAAAACGGTGTTGCTAAGAAAAAAGAAAAACACAAAGCTTTTATCAATTGAAAAGTTTTTCCTATGTCGAAAACATTTAGATCATGCTCATAAAAATGTGTTAACACGTTAAAATGAAACAAACACAAAGCAATCACAGCTACTTGAAGTCTCACATTTTGTGTAGAACAACTAAAACATGTTATAAGAAGTATCACACCAATAAGAGAACCATTATAAACATATAAAAGATAGTCATATTGAGTCTCAAAGCACCAATACAGTGAATGAACTACATAAGGAATGAGATAGATAACACAAATCATATTTTGATGAAATATAGTCCAAATAAATATGATGATCCCAATAACATGATGAATAAACGAATTGAATCGAAGTCTAATCAGATGAGTATAAACAATTTCGGCACAGTATAGAATGGCATATGTTAATAAAACAAAATTAAATTGAAAAATAGCGACATGTCGACTATTCGATTCTCTTGGCAAATATCGTTTTACTTTAATACAATATAACATACAGACTAATGTCTGAATTATCCACAAGCGATTTAGTACGAAATAAACTCCAGGACTAAAGCCATCGAGATCTTTCGACATTTGAATCCGTCGAAAAAAGATTTCAACGCCGGAATAAATCTGATATAAAAGTATTTTTATCATCAAGATATAAATAGAAATGCACAATCTAAAATATAACAAATATAGTATAGAAAAAGAATAGAAGACTCAAATGTCCATTGCAAAATAAATAATGATTGATAAAAGAAGTGTTTTGAATATTTTGTGATGATGAATATTTTAGATCATATTAGTATAGAATTAACATAGATATGTTTAGAGCTATATAAATAGTGTCCTCAAAAGTAATGTATGGATTGAATTTCTTACAAAATCAAACTTCCTATTAACTTCAAATATCATCATCTGCAAGTCTTGAACTATCGGGTTTCTCACATTATTGAGATAATGTGAAAATCTCACTTGAATATTTCTATTCTAGGTGTTTCATCAGTTCTTTTTCTGGTCTGTAATGACATTTTATGCACTTATTGAACTGTTTTCAGCTTAATCTTCGTGATTCTCCTTTGTTCAGTTGTTAATGAAACATTCCTTCTCTTGCTGTAAGTAGTAAGTTCTATTTCTGATGATAATTCAAATCTACTTATAAATTATTTCTTTCGAAAACAGAAAAATATGAGAATAAAAACTATCGAAATTCGATTGATTTGATCGTGAGAAGACTTACAATCTACTTCAGTAATTATACGAACAACGTTGCGAATTGAAGAAATTCGTCACACAGCAACAATGGAACGAAGATAATTAGAAAAGATGTTTTTTTCTTTGCTCTTTATATCACAATTGATAAGAAAGAAAAAGAAGCAGTATGAAGTAGATGGGAAATTATTGTAGTTTCTTCAGAGAATAAAACACTATCTGATAAGAATGAAAAAACCCCATATGCTATGATCTTTTCTTGACCTGAGTTATGTGTAAATCTCATCATTAATAATTATGATTTGTTCTAACTCGAGCGAAGATAACCAGATGGGAAAGAGCTTATTATAACAGTTGGGAGAATCAAAAATACCCATATAAGATAACGATAGGATTCGACCCGTATAAATAGCAGATAAGAACATTCAGTGGTTCGTATTCTCGACAGTGATTTGTTAATTAACTATATCTCAATAGGATCTCTTTAAAAAAAACACAATATAACTACCAGACGAACATTCAAACGCTTTAGATGACAAAACTATGACATGTGCATTTTCAACACATATTTTTTTTAGCGATTGACTCGTATATACGAGTACAAAAATATCGAAACTCACTTGATTATGAATAAAAGTTCTTTGTCAATAAAATCGATGAGTATCTTTTATGTTTATTTTTAGGAGATCTTGAATAATTGATAAAATGGTTCATATTATTTCGTCATTAATCTTATTTGGAGTTTTAATTGTAAATTGTGTATTTGGTAATGCACCAACAACTGGTGAGCAGGTATTTGGAATTCGTACAACATATCATGGTGCTCATGAAGCAGGTGCATGCGCGCTTCCAAAAGCTAGTTATGCTATAAGTCATCCGATTGCAATCGGAGATATCGAATCCTTGAAATATTTCAAGTATCGACCAGAATTATGTGGTCATGTTTTGCAACTCGACTGTGGAAATGGACCATTAGACGTTATTGTTGTGAACTCAAACCTGGGTCAAGGTCTCGATTTATACGCTTCGACTTGGAACAGACTCACTAATCACATGTCACCTGGAATCACACAATGTAGCATACAGCTTAGTGCACGCAAAGCTTTTGACTTCGATGGACCTCGTTGCTTTCACAGACCGGGAAGCGATTCAAGTCATAATGAGTACTATCGTTGTATTGGACTCCTGAATACCGGTGGNTATAGGAAACCTTTTAGGTTCGGTAAAACTCCTTCTTTTTTTGAGTGCAAGAATATAAGACTGATAGAAACCATCACACATAATCCTACACAGTAGCTGAATGAAATACATCGAATGGCTGATGGCATTCTAGAAATAGAGAAAATCTTCAGTGTAAAATTTAATAGGCTTTTACGATGCCAAGCATTAGGATGTTTGTTGCAGTTATGATTTACCGTGTCCATTGGCGCATCTTTTATCAGGAATGATTTTTTAAATTGAATCACGACAAGATAGAATTTTCTGGTATTGTCGTTCAGTGTCTTGTGTCTCAAAAATCTATTACATAAAATATTAGAAGAATGAGGGTATGAAAATAGCTGGTCTCCGATCGAGGTATGTTCAAATTTCCTGAAAAGGAAATTTCTGAAAATGAAATACTGTATTACAATGATATTTCAGCAAGATGCAACGCAACTAGCAGAACTTATAGAAATTTCAGAAATTCCAAGTATTCAATATATCAATGACTAATAGTAATCACAGGAAGGATACGGATAGACTGCAGAGAAATTTTTGAAGTTTCGGAGATTACAGATATTTATATGTGACTGCTTGATAGTGATGATAGGAAAGGAAAGACATTTCTAAAATTTCTCTACTTCTCCTACCCTGGGTCTATCTCTGATATGCAATGAATGATGTATTGCTTCACATAAAATTTCTGTAATTCCCGAAATTTCCGTAATTTCTCTACTTATCCTACCTCGAGTTTACCTCCTATACATCATGTAATCCATTATAATTTCTAAAATTTCTATATTTTCTTTTCATTTTTACCCTAGGTCTCTCTGATTAATTCATATATAAAATAATTTTCTACTGAAATTTCTAAAAGATGGAAGTTTATCATGGATTGTATGATGGATAAGTATAGTTTGTATTATGTATGTTATGTGGTATTTTTGGAAATTTCTTTTTAGAGAAATCTGAACACTGCTGACTGACGACCAAAAGAACCTGTATCCATCCGCAGCTTTAGACTCGACCAGCAGAAAACCTAACTTAAATTTTCGAAAAAATACCTCTCTGTTCCATATTTGTATGAAAAGATAGAAGATGAAATATAGGTCGAACCGCATCCTAGGAGAATAGTAATGAAATTACCTTTACCGGAAAGTGTTCGCCACAAGATAAAAATACACTGTCACCACTATAGCTCCCTAATATATGCGATTCTGAAAATTGGAAACTATCGGATACATTCGTTGTTGTTTTCAGCTGATATTTGCTACCTTATGCTGTGATGCGATTTGTGTTTTGCATCAATAAAATATTGTTTGATTTTTATTGAAAGCAATTACACAGTTTTGCCTTTTCTATGGTTGATTGAAGTTTGGGCCTCTTATTAAATCTAAATATGCACAAACACGTGCGTACCTGGCCTTAAATTATCGGCTAATTGATGTTTGCCATCGAAAAAAATAGTCTTAATAGTGATTGTACACATATTTCATAACAATATTAATACGCACATTGCTCCATGTAATGGTTACCTTTTTCTTTTTGTTCTGCCTTGTATCTCAAAATAGGTATATTGTAAATTTCAAGCGCTTCTCAATTAGTCATTGACAGGCATTTGCATAGAAATCGAATTTTTCAAGTTTTTGACTGTTGTTCTAGATACCACTGGTATGAATGATACTTTGGAGATCACCAACGATGAGAATGAGAATAAAAGAAATAACTCACCCACACCATCACCCACCCTCAAGTAGATGGTGAATTTAATATTTCGTTACACTAAGTCTTACATATCTTCTCATATAAATCAAAAATATAAATAAACTCTTTTTTTAAAAATGCATTTCGATGCTCATGAAAATAGTTAGTTTTGTGCGAACTTTTTCTACATGAAAGAATCAAAGCAACATTTTGCGACTAGTGATTTCCTATGTTCGTGATTATAAGAATTCGATGAATGCTGGTTGTTATCGATAACAATACTATTTAGCGCAGATAATAATCATAGTAAATGAATATCTAGATTCGTTCTTAATTATCCAGGAAGGGGAAATCAAGATTAAAAGTATAGTCAAATATATCTTTAAAGTTATAATTTGCTTCGCTAAATAAACAACATTTGTCTATCTTCTTCAGTTGAAGTTTATTCAATGAAATTATCCTATTTAATACAAGTTTAATATCAACTTATATTATATTATATAAGAAATACTATTAACAGCGTCTGAAGATAATCAAACATAAACTCTGTAGTAAACAAAGAATATTTCATAATATGATAATTAGAAAAGATAAATACTGATCTACTTGGTTATGTAAGAGATTCTTTTCACTTATCGACAATAAAACATGATATTACCACTAGGACATTATTGAAAAACTATTTAAGATTTAAATAAATAATCTGAAAAAGATGATTGATCATCATCTCGAATAATGTTGATGAAGCATTTTAACATTCGAATGAAACTGTCACATATAAAACAAAACCTAATAATATTTTTCAATCCTTAAGGATGGATGTCTCCTTCTTCATGCACATCCACTTAGATCCTCACCCTCACTATATTATAGATATAGCACTCTCAGAAAACATCATTAACAATTAAAGTTCGTTTGTGTAAAGAGATGTAAAGTAAATAGAAATAAAACGGTGTTGCTAAGAAAAAAGAAAAACACAAAGCTTTTATCAATTGAAAGATTTTTCCTATGTCGAAAACATTCAGATCATGCTCATAAAAATGTGTTAACACGTTAAAATGAAACAAACACAAAGCAATCACAGCTACTTGAAGTCTCACATTTTGTGTGGAACAACTAAAACATGTTATAAGAAGTATCACACCAATAAGAGAACCATTATAAACATATAAAAGATAATCATATTGAGTCTCAAAGCACCAATACAGTGAATGAACTACATAAGGAATGAGATAGATAACACAAATCATATTTTGATGAAATATAGTCCAAATAAATATGATGATTCCAATAATATGATGAATAAATGAATTGAATCGAAGTATAATCAGATGAGTATAAACAATTTCGGCACAGTATAGAATGGCATATGTTAATAAAACAAAATTAAATTGAAAAATAGCGACATGTCGACTATTCGATTCTCTTGGCAAATATCTTTTTACTTTAATACAATATAACATACAGACTAATGTTTGAATCATCCACAAGCGATTTAGTACGAAATAAACTCCAGGACTAAAGCCATCAAGATCTTTCGACATTTGAATCCGTCGAAAAAAGATTTCAACGCCGGAATAAATCTGATATAAAAGCATTTTTATCATTAAGACATCAATAGAAATGCACAATCTAAAATATAACAAGTATAGTATAGAAAAAGAATAGCAATAAAGAATAGAAGACTAAAATATCCATTACAAAATAAATGATGATTGATAAAAGAAGTGTTTCGAATATTGTGATGATGAATATTTTAGATCATATTAGTATAGAATTAACATAGATGTTTAGAGCTATATAAATAGCGTACTCAAAAGTAATGTATGGATTGAATTTCTTACAAAATCAAACTTCCTATTAACTTCAAATATCATCATCTGTAAGTCTTGAACTATTGGGTTTCTCACATCACTGAGATAATGTGAAAATCTCACTTGAATATTTCTATTCTAGATGTTTCATCAGTTCTTTTCCATAATCTTTTACGAGGCTTTTATGCATTATTGCTGACCAAGTTTTCTATTCACTGTCACAATCATTTATTTATATAGTCTAGAAATGCAATCTCACAATAAGTTTCAATAAGAAGAACTCAGTTCTTTTTCTGGTCTGTAATGACATTTTATGCACTTATTGAACTGTTTTCAGCTTAATCTTCAGTTGTTAATGAAACACTCCTTCTCTTGCTGTAAGTAGTAAGTTCTATTTCTGATGATAACTTAAATCTACTTATAAATTATTTCTTTCGAAAACAGAAAAATATGAGAATAAAAACTATCGAAATTCGATTGAGATGATCGTGAGAAGACTTACAATCTACTTCAGTAATTATACGGACAATGTTGCGAATTGAAGAAATTCGTCACACAGCAACAATGAAACGAAGATAATTAGAAAAGATGTTTTTTTCCTTTGCTCTTTATATGACGCTTGTTAAGAAAGAAAAAGAAGCAATATGAAGTATATGGGAAATTGCTGTAGTTTCTTCAGAGAATAAAACACTGTCTGATAAGAATGAAAAAAAACCATATGCTATGATCTTTTCTTGACCTGAGTTATGTGCAAATCCCATCGTTAATAATTATGATTTGTTCTAACTCTAGCGGAGATAACTAGATGGGAAAGAGCTTATTATAATAGTTGGGAGAATCAAAAATACCCATATAAGATAACGATAGGATTTAACCCGTATAAATAGCAGATAAGAACATTCAATGGTTCGTATTCTGTTGTCTTCATCTGTTTCACTTCAATCGTCATACAAATAGAGGTAAAGTCGACAGTGATTTGTTAATCAACTATATCTCAATAGGATCTCTTAAAAAAACACAATATAACTACAGACGAACATCCAAACGCTTTAGATGACAACTATGAGATGTGCTTTTTCAACACATTTATTGAATAAGTTCTTTGTCAATACAATCGATGAGTATCTTTTATGTTTATTTTTAGAAGATCTTGAATAATTGATAAAATGGTTCATATTATTTCGTCATTAATCTTATTTGAAGTTTTAATTGTAAATTATGTATTTGGTAATGCACCAACAACTGGTGAGCAGGTATTTGGAATTCGTACAACATATCATGGTGCTCATGAAGCAGGTGCATGCGCGCTTCCAAAAGCTAGTTATGCTATAAGTCATCCAATTGCAATCGGAGATATCGAATCCTTGAAATATTTCAAGTATCGACCAGAATTATGTGGTCATGTTTTGCAACTCGACTGTGGAAATGGACCATTAGACGTCATTGTTGTGAACTCAAACCTGGGTCAAGGTCTCGATTTATACGCTTCGACTTGGAACAGACTCACTAATCACATGTCACCTGGAATCACACAATGTAGCATACAGCTTAGTGCACGCAAAGCTTTTGACTTCGATGGACCTCGTTGCTTTCACAGACCGGGAAGCGATTCAAGTCATAATGAGTACTATCGTTGTATTGGACTCCTGAATACCGGTGGACAAATAGTCATTAGTGCTACTATAGATGATCATCGTGGAAAATATATGCAATCCAGTCCATACTTTGAGTTTACCTATGGTCAAAAAATTGATGGCAACAAACAGATTGTTTTTAATTTGGCAGATGGAACCACTCATAAAGTTTACTTGCGTGATTGTGAAAATCAGTATAACCAACAACTTTGGCGTTAATTGTAACCGAGAAATCTTTTTCTTTTCTACAATAATCTGATGGTAGATTTTTCATGGAAAAATATAAACATGCACTCGAAAATATCATTTCGAACATTACCCTCATTCATACTCATTGTCTTGAACAAACAAAATTACAATCGGGTCAGAGTGTTGATAACTTATTTGACAGAGTATCATGAAACTTATGTAATGTGTACTCAAATCGATCCCCTCCGCTACCCCCACACGTTCAAAGATACCTATGTTGCATTAAAAAGAAATTTGACGGCATGATGTTGACAACAAAAATGAAAATAATCAATAGAATAAGACATCGATTATTATTACACAAATACCACGATTTAGCATATAGTAGCTTCGCAGGTGCGAAGGATGTCAAATATTTTCACAAACACTTGAGTCTGTCAATGAACATATTCTCCTTTCAATGGAAAATATTGCTTAAACTCATCTGAACGTCAGTTATTCTCTCTGCGTTTAATTTAATCGTCTAAATGTATAACATATTTCTATCGTATGACTTTCTTTTCATTCAGACAATTAGTGTTAACAAGACATGCAGCTTCGCCTACGCACCTGCACACTAATGAACAGAATGGCATCTTTTCTTCATACTTAGACTATTTCAGAATATTCAAAAGATTGTTTTTCATATTTAACTGACAGCATCAGAAAAAGCATGACTTATATTTGCCTAATAAATCTGAAATTTATTTCTTTTTACTTCGTTTAATTTTAACAATGCGATATGTAATAAGACCATCACGAATTCTTTCGTTAAATAACGGAAGACCTTTTCCAGCTTTGCAACCTAATCCGACAGATAAAGCACCATCTTCAATCTTCATTTGTTTTTCTTTCAATAATTCCATTAAATCAATAGGAACAGTAAATTCTACAATTGTCGTTGGATTGGAATTTGTCCATTTATTTCCATTCAAATATTTATTTGCGTATATTCGCCCATTTTCGCCTTCGATAATTGCTTGATATGGTTGACTTGCCGGAAGTTGATTATTTTCTAGTAAATAAAGAATTTCATTGTCACCCATTGGTCTGTATACATTGATTTTTCCATCAGGTGGAGTTGATGAATATGCTTCTAGCCAAATTGATGATGAACCCTCATGTGTAATATTCAATAATTGTCCATTTTGATACAGCTCTAATTCATGTGGCAATAATCTTTTTAAATAACCATTAATTGAGGCTGCATTTTTCAAAGATTCTTCGAATTTTGTATTTTCCATGATACATTAAAATAGGAGAAGTGTCCTTTTTGTTCGTTTTATATATATTGCATATTCTTGCGCAATTCTTCGTTTGACGTCATAATCGATGACTCATCGTCTACCCTTTTCTCTTCGTTCTCTCAAATATTTATTGTTGGTCAAAAGGAAAACTTACAACAACTTTTGAAGCTATTCCATTTTGTACAAAAACAAAAGATACGAATGAATCTTCACTATGTGTGCTTTGTTTCATTGTCAAAATCATGATTATCCCTAACTATTCACACGATCGATGAAAACATTTTTCGACCGAAACCGCGACTATTGTCGTTTTCTTGGAAAAAGAACTCACTTCACCATCATGGTGGTCTATCACCTATTATCTTCACACAGTCATCCCATTACATACCCCTACATATTTTTTTATTCCTATTATACTCTAGTTAGATTCTAAATAACTGCTTATCTTATTATTGTAGCGCACTAATTCTATTGAATTATCTGGCGATGTTCATACTAAGATTGAATGAGATAGACTATCTTATCTCTGTCGAGAAACTTTCTGATTTTACTTCTCACAAGTTGCTCGTATTGATGAATATTACAATTAAAGAGAAACATCTATTTATTAGAATCTCGTAGTTGATCGATCATGATCCTATGAGTTGGTAAATATGGCCTAACGGTTTGAGAGGCCATTAACTGTAAATTTATATTTTGAGAATACAGCACATGGATATCATACAGAAGTAGTTCTTGTTGGAATCTTTTCAAGTTAAAATGCAAAGCAGATAATATCAGAGAGAATGTTGATAAAATTATGTCCTCAGTAGCTCTTCTGATACATCATGTTATTTATCAAGTGAACGAGAGATGAATCTATTTGAGTTCGGATTCACTTTTATTGCACCGACCTTCAACGATATAACCGCAAACATTACGAAAAGGCTGCGGCGATCAGCGGTATTTGTTTTACATTTTTCCGTAACCAAGCGAAGACATTTCAATGATCGTTTTTGAATAAATAAAACTTTTAAAAAACTCAAAAAAAGTGTCTCGGAAAGAACTTTCATTAGAAAAGCATCTTTTCTTCCTCTGTTCTCTTGATTGCAATTTCTCAAATGAAACAATTCTATTAAACATATTCAAGAAAGAGAGAAAAAAAGAAATGCGTCTTGAGTGACTCTACCAAATTAGTTTTCCTTTTATCAAAGAACAAAAAAGGTGATATTTTGTGGTAAAAAAATACTTTTTGTTTAGAAAATCTTGAAAATGAATATCATAATACCTATGGGTGGAATTGGAAATCGTTTCAGTAAAGAAAACTATCGTTTTCCTAAACCATTGATAAATATCGTTGGTCGTCCAATGTTATTTTGGTTATTTGATCATTTGGAAACTGAAGATGATGATATTATTTATTTAGGATTATTAGAAAATCTTGATAAACAATTTAATTTAAGTCAAAGATTGAAAATTGAATATCCAGAGAAGAAATTTGAAAAGATTCTATTAGATTTTGAAACTCGTGGAGCAGTGGAAACTTTATTTATTGTTTTACAATCAATGAATCCAGATCGATTAAAATACAAAACAATTTCATTGGATTGTGATACAATTTATTTCGAATCGATTTTAAAGAAATTTCGTGCAGTTTCAAATGAAACCAATGTTTCCTTTTACTTCGAAGATCATCAAGGTAAACCAATTTATTCGTATTTAAACATTGATGAAAATCTGAAAATTATTGATGTACGAGAAAAAATAATGATTTCGAATCACGCCAATACAGGTGCATATGGATTTCGTTCTGGTCAAATTCTCAAAGATTATGCAATTCAATTATTAGATGAAGCTGTTGGATATTCAGGAGAATATTATACAACTAATTTAATGAAATTGATGTTACAGAATAATGAAGATTTTCGAGGAATTGAAATCCAAAAAGAGAATTTTATTTGTGTTGGAACACCTGATCAATTAAATGAATTTTTAAAATTAATTAAAACAAAACGATCTGATCAATTTCAAATTCGTCAAATGAGATTTTGTTTCGATTTAGACAATACTTTAGTTTCTTATCCAACTATTTATGGTGATTATAATTCTGTTGAACCAATTTATGAAAATATTCAATTAGTTAAAGAATTATATGAAGCTGGTCATCATATCATCATTCAAACAGCAAGAAGAATGAAAACACATCAGGGAAATCTTGGCGCTGTTATTGCTGATATTGGTCATGTCACATTGAATACTTTACAAAAATTTCAAATTCCTTATCATGAATTGTTTTTTGGGAAACCTTATGCTGATATTTACATTGATGATTCGGCTATTCATGCGTTAATTGATACGAGAAAAGAAATTGGTTGGTTAATTAAACAATTCGATGAACAAAATTTGAATGAAAATAAGAAAAGAGTAAAAGGTTTTATTTCATCACGTGATTTTCATACAATTGAACAATTGGATAATTTAATTATAAAAAGTTCAACATGTTCACATTTACAAGGTGAAATTTATTTTTATCAAAATCTTCCTAAAGATATTGAAGATTTATTTCCCAAATTTTATCGAATTGAAACCAATGAACAAGCGGGAATAACTTCATTAGTTATTGAGAAAATTTCCGGAATAACTTATTCACATTTATTTACAAATTTATGTTTAACTCAAGGAAGATTTCTCAAATTATTGAATTCATTGAAACGAATTCATTTTTCAATTAAAACTCATTTGAAATCGAATATTTATGCAAATTATTTCGATAAAATTCTTCTTCGTTATCAACAATACAATGAAATTTATCTCAATCTCGATCAACATTTTCAAAATAAAATTCTCAATTCAAAAGAATTTTTGCAAATTTTTACAAATTTTTTCAGTGATTATCAACAATTTCAATATGGAAAAGGCAATTCGATCATTCATGGTGATCCGGTGTTTAGTAATATTTTATTAAAATCCAATAATAATTTAATTTTCTTAGATATGAGAGGTTGTTTAGGCAAAGAATTAAGTTTAGAAGGAGATTTAAATTATGATTTAGCCAAAGTTTATCAATCGTTATCAGGTTATGATTTTATTTTATTAGATAAACAAGATTTATTGAAAAATCAATCAATTCAATTGTATATTGAAGATTTAAAAAAAGTTTTTCTCAATTTTCTATTAAAAGAATATTCGAATGAAAATTTCAATTTCAAACATATTCAAATAATTACATCACATTTATTTTTTACATTAATTCCTTTACATAATAATTTTCAACATCAAATTCAATTTTATCAACTGGCTTTTCAACTTTATCAACAATATCTACAATAATTATTAACAAACTTTCTTTTTAAACAAACATTTCTTTTATTTAGTTCGTTTTGGATGCCTTCTTCTCTCTAAAGAATAAAATAATCGATTAAAAAAAAGAAAATCAACTGTCTTTGTATTTAGATTATTGATGAGAATTAATATAATTCTGCACTGTTTAGATAGTAACCACCAATTCCACCAGTAATAAGTACTTTTCCATTATGTAAAAGAGATGCTGTGTGCCCGTAACGATTATTATTCAAAGTACCTGTAATCGTCCATGTTTCTGTTTGTGGATCATAGAATTCACCATTAATAACACCTTGTCCAGCAACAACTAAGACTTTTCCACTAGTTAATAGCGATGCTGTGTGACCATAGCGTGGTTGATTCATATTAACAGTATTTGCCCAAGTTCCTGTTGATGAATCGTATAATTCAGTGGTAATTAATGCACCATAACCATCACTTCCGCCAGCAACTAATACTTTTCCATTGTTTAATAGAGTTGCACTATGACCGTTGCGTAGACTGTTCATATTATTAGTCATTAGCCAAATTCCTGTCGATGGATCATATATTTCAGTACTATTGAATACAATAAAACCAGCGGCTCCTCCAGTAACCAATACTTTTCCATTATTTAAAAGAGATGATGTGTGTCCATATCGTTTTTCATTCATAATTCCAGTACTTGTCCACATTCCTGTTGATGGATCATATATTTCAGTGGTGTTTAATGTGTCATTACCATTACTTCCCCCGCTAACTAACACTTTTCCATTATTTAATACAGATGCTTTGTGACCATAGCGTGCATATATCATATTGCCCGTCCTTGTCCAAGTTCCTGTTGATAAATCATACAGTTCTGTGGTATTTGTTGCAATAAAATTAAGCATTCCGCCAGCAACTAAAATTGTCCCATTATTCAGTTTGGATGATGTGTGCAGAGAATGTGCATTATGCATATACATCGTAGCCGACCAATTGCCTGTTGATGGATCATATAATTCTGCACCAGATGGATCTCCACCACCATTATTATTATATCCACCAGAAATCAGAACTTTTCCATTGTTTAATACAGATTCTGTGTGACCATAGCGTGCATATGTCATATTACCTGTCATAAACCATCCTAGAACAAATATAAATGTAATAAGTATTGACATTAACTCATAGAAAATACTAAACATGTTAAAAATGAGAAAAAAAAAACTTCTGCCAATACCTTTGATGCACAAATTTGTCAATGATAATGGTAAACATACAGATGACGGTGAACAACATGAATTAACAATACAAACGGATGTATTTGATGTACAAGTTTGATTACATATTTGTAAAATTGAACATTGAATTGCAGGTGCACAATAACTTTGATTATCAAATGAAAGATAATCAAAACATGGTGTACTCGGATGATAACAATTCTTTGTATTATTCAAATTTGAATTACATTTTTGTAAAGAACAACTTGATGATTTATCTTCAGCAGTATGAGATGAATATGATAAAGTAAATCCAGTATTTAAATCATTTGCATTACATGTATAGTCTAGTGATTGAAGTTTTTCAACTGAAAAAAATCCTTTTCGTTAAGAAAGAAAATTCCGAAGAAATCTACATACCTTTTACATAAAGAAAAAAGACGACAAGAAAAATAAGTCTTGTGCGTTGCATTGCCATTTCTCAAAGAATTGAATGTTTAGTTTTCTTCCGTTTATGAGTTATAATTATACAGATTCAGTCTGAAATGAAAGAAAAAGAAATTTCTCTCGTTTAAAAGGATTGAGATGTTTACTTGATTTCGAATATGTGCGCATGTAGTGAATATTGTCGTGATTTTATCCCAATGAATTCCTATGAAATCATTTCTAGAGTGTTATAAACTATTATTTCACATTCTCAGTATGTGGAAGTGCGTCGGAATTGTTTTCCATATAGTGTGGAGTATCGTCTCAAAATACTTCATTGGATGTAATGATGATGTGGAAATAAATTTTAAAAAAGATGAAGAATTTTTTCTATTTCATCGAACGATGAGGGTAAGAAAATATATTTACTATGAAATGAATGTCAAACAAGAAAAAGATTAAATATAGAAAAATTATTCTGAAAGATTGAGAGATGAATAATCAATTACTCAAGTGATAATCTACACTTTTCGATATGATGGTGTCTTTTTGTTTAGTCTATGAAGAAAAGTCACGCAAAATAGAATAACAAAGACGATTTCAGTTAAGATTTTTGCTTCATCTCTGTCTGATAGTATCGTAATTCAATTGGAAAATTCAATAAACAATGAATAGGATATATTGAATTGAATTTCGATTGATGATATTGTCATGAAAAACAATTATATGAGAAGATACCGAATTGTTTCTCAATGATTATCTCAAAAGTCTATTTTAATGGGAAACTTATCGAAGTAAAGAATTGAAATATTTTTCATCGTATATCTGAAGAAGATTTTCGTTTCAATAGAGAAAACCTTTAATTTAACATTTAAAATGTAATAACTACAGTTGAATTGATTCGTTTCCAAAACAATAATTTGCTTTTCAATATTTGACGAAAACGATTTAATAATAATAAAAATTTCTTTAAAGAGAATAAGAAAGAAAATATTTGATTTAATTAAAAAATGAAAATTTACACAATAATAAAAATAACTGAAAACATTAACAAATCATAAAGCAAAATTTTCGTTGATTAATTGATTTTGAATCTTTCTTCATTGATAAAATTATTAAAATCATATGGATTTACATTTCGAAAAAACTTGTTAGACAGTCATTTTGACGCGATCAAATTGTTTATCAACATTTATTCTTATGAAATGAAGATTTCGATATGTTAAATACTCAAATAGAATCATAATGATTGTTGAATCAAGACTTGTTAAACTTAAAAAATAAACAGTGAGATAGATCGAATAGATTAGATTTGTAACGACATTTTTGTCTTTATTATTAGAGAAATTTCAAAAAATTAATTTCGAGGAATTTCATATGACTTGAACGATGTAATGAAATATTTTTTGATGTTAATAGGAAAGTCCATTGAGAAAGGATGTTTGAACCGAAGAACAAATTATCAAAGCGATACAAAGAAATGCAAAATGCCAATAAATCATTTAGTAAAAAAAGAAAACATTTTCCATGTAATTTTTTTGGATGAATACACTTTTATTTTTCGTTATCCATGCAGTTATTCACTTTGCGTGACATATAAATGACTCTTACACACTGTAGATTGACATTTGGCCTAGAAAGGAAAGGAAAGGAAAACGAGTGGAAACAGTAGTTCAAAATTCGCTACTTACGTAAACATTTTTGGTGACTAAAAGTGCGTTCACATTAAATTAATAAGATTTAGGAAATTTTATTTCAAGAACAAATATGTTAACTGATTATTGAGAATATCTTTCAATACGCGTAAATAATGATTTTCATCTGATTATTCTATTGTTGAACATCTGTACATAAAGAAAACTGTCTGAATGTATTTAAAAAGACAGAAAATCAGAAGGTTTGAAAAGGAAGTCAATCTGAGCTACTAAAAATAAACGCGATCCTTTTTAACAGGCATATCCAGATGTGATTTTGCAAATCAGATGCGTCTATGGTGTTTACATGGGATTTCAATGTCAAATCTTAATAACCTTATTGATACTTTTATGTTTGAAATTTGTTTTTTCGATTGATTCTCTTTAATTGAATTGCTTAGCGCTATGATACAACAGCTACAAGTCTTTATTCTACATCATTTCTTCTTTCATTTCATGATCAAATCTTTGGAAATGATTGACATCGTCAATGTACTTTAGACGATTCAAAAGAAATAACTTACCTTGAGGGTATAATGGGTGTGAGGGTATAAGTATAAGTGAAACTAAATCTATTTCTGTTCCTATGTAGATAGAGATGTACGGTGCTAGGAATTAGTCACTTATATTATAATTCAAATTAAGTAGCTACTCAAAGATTGTATATGTGCGACATCATTAGTACAATGTATATTTTTATCTTACATTGATAATAATTATTATTTCATTGGATATTTTCGTTGTCATGATCATCAGTTAGTTTTGAATAACATTTCATTGTATATTTCTGAGAGAAAAGAGAATGAAACATATTGGAATTGTTGATATTACAACAGCTGGAGCATGTTTATGTGCAAATGAAATTGTTGCACAAGCAGCAAAAATTACTTTATCAAAAAAACATCCGGAATTTACAATGCATGCATTTTCATACGATCAATATTATGATTTGATTCATCGAAAAGATTGGATTAATTTAGCCAAAAAAATATGCGAATCAATTGAATTACTTTCGAAAGTTGGTGCTGATTTTATTATTATTCCATCAAATACACCTCATTATGCAATAGAACCCAAGCAGTCAAGNCTCGTTGCTTGCACAGACCGGGAAGCGATTCAAGTCATAACGAGTACTATCGTTGTGTTGGACTCCTGAATACCGGTGGACAAATAGTCATTAGTGCTACTATAGATGATCATCGTGGAAAATATATGCAATCCAGTCCATACTTTGAGTTTACCTATGGTCAAAAAATTGATAGCAACAAACAGATTGTTTTTACTTTGGCAGATGGAACCACTCATAAAGTTTACTTGCGTGATTGTGAAAATCAGTATAACCAGCAACTTTGGCGTTAATTGTAACCGAGAAATCTTTTTCTTTTCTACAATAATCTGATGGTAGATTTTTCATGGAAAAATGTAAACATGCACTCGAAAATATCATTTCGAACATTACCCTCATTCGTACTCATTGTCTTGCACAAACAAAATTACAATCGGGTCAGAGAAGTGATCGTCAGAGTGTTGATAACTTATTTGACAGAGTATCATGAAACTTATGTAATGTGTACTCAAATCGATCCCCCTCCGCTACCCCCACACGTTCAAAGATACCTATGTTGCATTAAAAAGAAATTTGACGGCATGACGTTGACAACAAAAATGAAAATAATCAATAGAATAAGACCTCGATTATTATTACATAAATACCACGATTTAGCATATAGTTGCTTCGCAGGTACAAAGGATGTCAAATATTTTCACAAACACTTGAGTCTGGCAATCAACATATTCTCCTTTCAATGGAAAATATTGCTTAAACTTATCTGAACGTCAGTTATTCTCTCTACGTTTAATTTAATCTTCTAAATATGTAACATATTTCTATCGTATGATTCTCTTTTCATTCAGACAATTAGTGTTAACAAGACATGCAGCTTCGCCTACTACCTGCATACTAATGAAGAGAATGGCATCTTTTCTTCATACTTAGACTATTTCAGAATATTCAAAAGATTGTTTTTATATTTAACTGACAGCATCAGAAAAAGCATGACTTATATTTGTCTAATAAATCTGAAATTTATTTATTTTTACTTCGTTTAATTTTAACAATGCGATATGTAATAAGACCATCCCGAATTCTTTCGTTAAATAATGGAAGACCTTTTCCAGCTTTGCAACCTAATCCGACAGATAAAGCACCATCTTCAATCTTCATTTGTTTTTCTTTCAATAATTCCATTAAATCAATAGGTACAGTAAATTCTACAATTGTCGTTGGATTGGAATTTGTCCATTTATTTCCATTCAAATATTTATTTGCGTATATTCGTCCATTTTCGCCTTCGATAATTGCTTGATATGGTTGACTTGCTGGAAGTTGATTATTTTCTAGTAAATAAAGAATTTCATTGTCACCCATTGGTCTGTATCCATTGATTTTTCCATCAGGTGGAATTGATGAATATGCTTCTAGCCAAATTGATGATGAACCCTCATGTGTAATATTCAATAATTGTCCATTTTGATACAGCTCTAATTCNCAATGCATGCATTTTCATACGATCAATATTATGATTTGATTCATCGAAAAGATTGGATTAATTTAGCCAAAAAAATATGCGAATCAATTGAATTACTTTCGAAAGTTGGTGCTGATTTTATTATTATTCCATCAAATACACCTCATTATGCAATAGAACCCAAGCAGTCAAGATTCTGGGAAAACGCGTGTAAACGACAAACACTTCTCGACCGTGTGCACGTACCAGTCGGGGTTCCCGATGATTACCGTTAAACATGTAAAAATGAAACGCCCAGACACGCTCAAACCTGATATTCGCATATGTTCCACGTGAGTAAATCTGTGGAATTCTTTGACGTGTACATCCGAAAAACTCAACGCGTTTAATTGACATTAATTAAAGCACGTTTCTAGCCCTTCATCGGGAACCCCAATCATCAGCCAATCACGAATAAAAAAAACAAACATGAAAACGCAACACTTCAGTGCAACCAGAAATTTTCTTAGTATGCACGACTCAAAAACTGAAATCTGTTTTTATCACTAGTTTTTCAGCGTTTTTCGACAACAGTTTGGAACCCCGATTATATAGTGAAAACGCCCGTAATAAATGGAACTGAAAATAGTTTACTTTAGCTGCCAAGTAGAACATGACGGTTTAAACGCTAGAAGCGTACAGCCATTTCAGCGATAATCGTTTTTGCCACTTATTTCTCCCATTATTAAGCAGAATCAATATCTACCAAAAGTAACCAACGTGATCACACGTGAAAATTATCAGCTCTACTATTTTCCTTCCGCTTAAAACGCAAGAAGAGTAGTAGTTTTTAAGAAATGGCCTTCCCAGTAAACAGCGACATCTTCACCAAACATATTGTAGCACAATCATACTTTGAATAAACCCTTTTACTCACGATCAGACAACTTTCCAGCAAAGAAAGTTCATATAAACACGTCTAAAACTCACTTGCTTGTCTCGTCACTTACTAAAATAGCTTCCATTTTGCTATTAGAGAGGTGATCAACCCACAGCAGCTAGAATTCGACTGCCTCGCCCATCACATGCCCTTCCATAACTCAGCTGAGTCACAAAGCAAACTATAGCACTGTGCAAAAAATGAGCAGCCTACACCTTCTATACACTAATAACAAAACGTGAACGAAAGGAGAACCACGCTAAACAACTAAAACGAATTTCACATGCAATCTAATAACAGACCTGTGAAGGAAATCAGAGCCATGCTAAACTAATAGAACGAACCTCACATGCAATCTAATAACAAAACGTGAACGAAAGGAGAACCATGCTAAACCACTAAAACGAATTTCACATGCAATCTAATAACAGAGCAGTTAAGAAAAGCAGAGCCATGGTAAACAACGAAAATGAATTTCACATGCAATCTAATAACAGACCTGTGAAGGAAATCAGAGCCATGCTAAACTAATAGAACGAACTTCACATGCAATCTAAAAAGAAACGAAATGAATGAGAGTAATGTTTTGCTGAGCAACTAAAACGAACTATCGAAGGAAAAATAATGTGCACCTTGACAATAGATTGTTGTAAGAAGGACTACATGGAATCAAGTTTGTTAGACACCACCGGGCTGAGAATATGATGAAAAAGGCTGTTGAAATTAAGGGAGACAGGCGAAAACCTATATAGTCGAAAGAAGACTCCTTGTAGTGTAGAGTGGAAATTTGCTTTAAGGAAATGGATGTGAGAGAGTAGATAGGGAGCTGTGGGCGTTGAATTCATTATTGACTGAGGAAAAGCGAGTTCCGAAAAGATATGTCTATGTGCCGCACGTATTGCTGATTTTAAAGGTCACTGTAATGCGACAGATGTTTTATTACTTTGTCAGCGGTTGAGTATGGAAGTTTGTTGAGTGATAGGGATAGGTTTACATGCTCAATGGAAATGAAGTATCAGGCACTGATATAAATTTGTAACTTATACCTATGGATTATCATTTGAATAGAAAATAAACGAGTAGCATAAAATCAAACAAAGAACTTAGCATATGTAATTTTCCTAAAGAACTGACCATCGGGTCATGGAATATATTCTGAATACGATAGTGGAAGAAATGCGCCGTATAAAAATGTGGGAATAGGGTGATGTCGCGAGTGTATGGAGCTAGTTATGTCGTGGAATGTTTTGCTCATAGACTTAAATGGCTGATCAATCGATTTTTGTAATATTAATTTTGAGGTGATTTTGAGAAAAAATCACAAAAAATCTTCAAGCTTGCTATTTCAGGGAATGGTATCGCTTCTTATTAGCTCGCTGGGAAAGCGACTCAGATAGTTGTAGAAGGAATGATATAATACAGTAACGCGATGATCAGTTTGATTGGCGTTCTATCAGTTAACGATGAGATGAAGATTCTTTAGGCTTAATTGCCTATATAGAAGAATCGTTGTATAGAGACTTGGGTGTATATAGACGGACTATTACACAGGACCTGGTATTGATGTAGACGGGTTATCTCATAGAACCTTACGCTTGTATAGGCAAAATGATGTGCGAAGCATTGCATACATTTGTTTTCTTTGTTGAACTAGACCGAATACTGGTATATAAGGGTGAGTTGATACACTAGAAATCTATTTATTATCTTTGCTTCTGAACGTGCATTTGTTTTTCTCTTCAGATACTTCTACACGGTCGACCGGCGTATCCGTTACACGCGACAAATTCAAACACTTTGCTTATATTCTTTAACGATGAAACGGTCCAACGCTTTTAACAAAACTAACCGGGGTGTGTTTGAATCTCAATCTAAACGTATCCGAACAACTACAACGTTAAGAGATAAGGAGAATGACGTTTCTATGATCAATACTAATGTTCCTGTTCCTAATTGTGACAAGTCTACCAGACTCGATCAGATCGAAAAGAAATTATCAAATAACAATGTTCTGCGCGAAAGTCAATCCGCTACGACAGCAAACGCACGGTCTGAATCAACTATTTCATTTGCACCACCATCAACAGCTTCGGCAAACACAGATACATCAATTTCGACAAGTAATAGTGGGAAATCTTAATTGAACACAAATGAACCGTTGTCTTTTGTTACAGATAATCGTAATGTGGAAACTAGCGGTGAAAACAGCATCGCCACTCGATCAGCAATCAGTTCATGCTCGCAGTGAGTGATTGTTAGTAATAGACTAATATACTACTCTCATTTATAGACCAATTGTATCACGGTCAACAAGTCACAAACCTCAAAAGGAAAAGCAGCAGAGGTAAAAAAATTAGTGAAAATAAACTCTTCCCACGCGAGGACCCTATAACACTTTTCTTTATTTATGAATAGTTTCACGCAAGCTTCAAACCCAAATCGACTTTCTCGATTATTTGAACCATCTTTGTTGAATAACTCAAGCACATCTACGAGTAGCAACAATTCTCACTCTGCGCACATCGAAGGTTCATTGGAATTTCGTGAGCTAAGGAGACTCTACAATAAGGAGAAGAGTATGGCCGACGAATGGCGGAAAGATTATGGAATATTGAAAGGTCAAATGGCTACCTTGAAAGCAACTACTATTCGTACGTAGAAAGTTTTCTAAGCTTCAGTTAGTCACAGAGTGCATGTCTCACAGAATCCGATGAGATCCATCGTTGCTCTACAGATATTTTTCCAGATGAGGTCCATGCAAGAAGCCTTTTCACTCGAATATTATTCTAAAGAGACTGAATCCTTTCGTACTTGTCATGACAATGAGTGTAATGAATCTTTCCATCATCTTCTTTCAGTAGTTATTAACTTTTATTTTTTATGCACTCTTTTCAATTTAGCACGGCCAACGGCAGAAGTGTTAGAATGGCTAAGCGAATTATTCGACATCATTAGTAGCAACGGAGTGTTTGTTGGCGATGGGAGATCTTTGGAACAAATAGGGCATGAGTTGGGAATCGACACAACTAGTCTTGCTACCATTTCTGCTCGAACACCTCAAAAATCTGCGTTAAAAATCTTTCGTCTGTTGTATCCAACAGTTGGCAGTAGAGCAAATTGCGGATCAATATCGGCTGTTCCTCAAGAACAATTGGAGAACATTTACGGTGATTTTCATATTGTGTCCTGGATCATAAGTATCTTTTTTTCTTTCAGCTTACGTACGCACACTACATAAAAGCTTGAGCTTCAGTATGAGTGATTTACGGAAAGCCATAGGCACTTCTATACGAACTGCCACAGCCGACATACGCCGAATGCATCTCCGTGGACAACAACAACTCAATGACTTCTCGAATGACCTTGGTTTTGATTCGAACGTTACGGGTGATTCAGCGCGAGATGTCTATAGCGATATGGATGAAAATGGACCAGATGACCAAGAAAGTGATGAAGAGAATGAATCCGGCGATGACAATGAAGATTCCGATGATGAGTTCGATCGGCAAGCTAATGCACGTCGTCTGGTAATGGATGATGAAGATGAGGAAGATTAAGAACATTTACCTGGAGTGAAGTTCGTTGTTCTTAAAAAGAATAAACTTTTTTCAAATGCGCAATGTCGATGTACTCCGCGAATCTTCAACTTCTTCTACTCAATCCGCTACGTTGTCGTATTCATTTTCTTATTCTGCATTTCGTGAATTTTTCCGTTGGTTGATTTTCTTCTGATTAAAGTTGTTTCTTCTTCTTCACTATTTGTTAAATTTCTAATCAAGTGTGTCCTCTCAAATTCTGTCACCATGCTCACGTCAGATACAATTTTTTTTAAACAAACACTTTGACTGAGAAAATGAGTGTAAAAAGAGTTAATATCGAATAAAATTTTGCTCTTAAGAAGATTAACAATAAGACACGATTTCAGATCAATCAGTTGTGATTAGTATAATCTAACGATTCGTACATCTTTCAGAAACTTCCATCGAGATTTCCTTTGATAATTGAAAAAAGACAGAAAAATAGGCGAACATATTTGCTTACGTTTATAGACATGTATTATGATAATGAGTGTCCACTACGTCCTACCAAGGCTGTTGCTCGACGATTACGAGCTGCTAATGAACGCCTCGCTCGAAATGAACTACTGTCCTCAATTTCTCCTACTCATTCACATGATATTGAGTAAGTACATCAATATTTATTCATATTTTAATAAATTTGTTTAAAAACAGGATGAATCAAACCTACGATGATCAACCAGGTGATATAAACGATCAAGCAGATGATGGTATGATGACAGACGAAAATGAAGAACAAATAAAAATGGATTCAATAATACGCGATGATATTACTGATGGTGTATTAGCTGATGATCCATATGTGAATGACATCGATGAAGACAATAACGATGCAGATGGTGAATTCGTTAGTAGTGTGTTTGAGCATACAAAAGGTAAACTCAATCTCGATAATAACAAGTCTTCTTCGCCTAGTGTCGAAGAAATCTCGGTCGCTATTGTTCTTTTACGCCATAGACACAATCTGTCGAAATCGTGTGTGAATGACTTGTGCTGTTTTTTGCGTTTCCTCGGTATTAAAAACGTTCCTAAGAATTTTCGTTCTATTGAAAAATATCTTGAACAAAAACAAGAGAATGTACTACAAAGTACAACCTTTTCCGTATGTTCCAAATGCGGCAATAAAGGAATGAATTCATCAAAATGTGAGAGCAATGACTGCAACTTCAAAACTGGTTTTTCTTCTGCTCCAACTACCTTATGTACATTTCGACTCTTACCGCAAATAATATCGATTCTTGAACGCCACTCTCTTTTACCAGAATCCAACGGAGGATGTGGTTCTGGAATACGTGATGTTCAAGAAGGTGCAGTTCATCGGAATATCGTATTAAAAGAACGACTGACAGATCCGAACAAGCAAATAATCTCCTTTCTTGTCAATAGTGATGGTATCGTCATAAAGAAATTTAAAAAATCCATTTGGATAACATCGATGGTGATAAATGAGTTACCTCGAAAAATACGGTTCAATAATGATAACATTATTATTTGTTCGATATCAATGGGAAGTAACAAACCCAAGAAGGCTGAATTTCAGAAGTTTATTTCTGAATGGGTTGATGAGCTGAAGCAACTCGAACTGGGTTTTTATATTTGTCCACCGAATTACAATGAAACTTTCGTAAAAGTACATGCGTTTCTAATCGCAGCAGCACTCGACAAGCCTGCACAAGCTTTATTGGCAAACATGAACGATCCTACTGGTTATTACAGTTGTGTTCGTTGTACTATTCGAGGTAGTATGTTACACATTTTGCAGCTTATGATTTCGAAATCATAGAGCTTAGATTAGACTCAGTTAACAGATGGATGTCATCTCGAATTTGAGTTGGAAGTTATTGAACGAAAAAGGAATGTATTCTTTTCATTGAACTTTATTTACAAATGATCGAGTTGTAAGCTCTTGACTTGCATAAGAAATTTTGTCGTGAGTCGTGATACTACTGACGGTTACAGTTGCACTGCTCAGCTGGTCTGACCTTTGAATCATATTCACTGAAACGTTTGTGTTTTCTGACTGTAATAGACCAACAAAAACATTGGATGCTTTTACACCAATGTTTTCATTTAATTCTCAGTTACTGAAAGAGAGAATATATGTCAAGTCTGTTGATTGCATCGGTCTTCGATGATTAATAATAGAATATTTGACGCTAAAAACTATGAGTGGTATTTTTGTATCTAAAAGGGCAAAAATAACTTTTAAGAGAAAACGTTACAAGCGTTCCTTGATTTAGGCACGCATATATTTCACTAAATCATTGTTATGATTTGATTTAAGGAAAAACGGTTCCAAAAGGAAAAGGCAGTACTCGAGTGTTTATCAGGGATAAAGAAAACAAAATCGAAGATCGAAATAATGATCTATATGATAGGAATATTTTGAATATATCACGCGTGAGTAAAGTTACATGGTCATGTGAGAAAAAATTTCATCGTGTTTTTTTTCAGAGAAAACTACCATTGAAGAAGGACACTGTAGATCTTGCTTATGGTCAGCGCGGTCCATGTATTTTGCGCGATTTGACATATTTTGACGTTGGTCAATCACTCACTTCTGACTCTCTTCATAATGTGTATTCGGGAACGTTTGTAAGAGATGCTTTTAAAAGATATTTGTAACTCAACTATTGTCCTATTATATTACAGAAACGTTTGTTAGAAATATGGTTTACAACTGCTAACAAATCTTATTCAATAAAGAAGAGTTTAAATTTAATTGAAGGCAAACTCGACTCAATGCAGTATCCCACCACCACTTATCATCTACCTTCTCAATTACGACATTTTCAAACTTTCAAAGGAAATGAATTTCGTCTGGTGTTACTATTCGGCTATCAGTAAGTTCAATGATCTCTTTCAGTAATTCGTTTAGTTTCTCTGACAAACTGAATAATAATTGACATCACTATGTTAGTGAAAAAGCAGCATTAATTAAATAAAATATTTTGACGATACATTTCTAAAATGAATTTCAAGTGAAAAGACATGCGAAGAAGCATCTCATTTTATTAACCGATGAGAAATTGAAGGAATAATCTTGAACAACTGTATTATTCATGAAAGAGATAGCTGTTGTTAGATGGTCGGAAAACACGAATATAGGAATTAATTTTTTATTTAGGTATTTTCAACCGTTTCTTCCTGCTCCCCATTATCAACACTTGAAACTTCTGGCGTTTGCAATGGCTTTATCAGAATCATCCGTAATTTTTGATGACACAATCACTACGATCAAAGATTTACTAGATGAATTCGATCGTTCGTTTTCATCATTATACTTAGTGAGTACTCATATACGTATAAATTTGTGAAACTTGGATATAATTTATTTCTATGCTTATCTGTCGACAAGTAATTTGACATTCGTCATAAATTCGTTTTCAAATTTGAATACTGAACTTCATTCAAGACATTCTGACATGTAACTTCGCGTTTTCTCTATTGTGTATACGTAGTCAATTCTTTTTTCCGTATGCTGACGAGCTTTGGAGGAAATATGTGCCGTCAGAACGCACAAGATCATGCATTATCTGACATTGCACGAGGAAACTAAGAGAGAACAAATAGATTTATAGGCCTATTCATTCTGTATTACGTGTCGTTTTTGAACAGCGGGATACTATTACAGATTATTATTTAGGTACTTATTCTACTCATCGACACAATTTTTAGTGTATTTCCATTAGCAAGACTTTATAGTTAACTTAATACACTGAAGAGTCTATTAAATACTCGAGTTTTTTTGAGCGATGACAACACTTTTCCACCTCATTATTTATACAAGAAGTTCTGTGCGAAAAGGTTTTGAGTCGAAGTCTATATAACAACTTGAATGGTTACCAAAAGCGATATCTTCTTCGAATCAACCTATGAAGATCTGAAGCTGCTTTCAAGAAGATACAGATTGTACTTTTTGAGTAGACATATGACATAAAAAGTAGCTATTTAAGTCTTACTATAAAGGATTCTTTTGGCATACTTTTATGACAAAGAAGACAAAATTTTACCATTATAACGATCGATTTCTTACATATTTTCACATGATTCTTTCCGAAAATACTAGTCACACTTTGATACATGAGTAAAAGCACATCGTCGGCAGTCAAAGTTTGACTCGCTTTTTCTAAGAATTCTGTTTTCAAGGAAAACACAATGACATCTGTCATACATTCCATGGTGCACGTACATCAATCACTAAGAGACTTTGGCCCAATGCAGAATTTTTCAACTTTCAATTTTGAGAGCGCGATTGGTCTGTATCAAAACTATTGACAGGATCATTTCAGTCTGAAGAACGCTTAATATTTTATTCCACAGGTTCAATTATTCAATCGATAAATGGACCCAATCTAATTATCTCAGAACTAACCAATAATATAAATATTGTCCAAAGTGCAACTAAAGAATTGAATAATATTAACTTTAACCGATCGTTAAAGTTATTTGTACTTCGTATTTTTTCCACCAAACGTCAAGCATTACCAAGTGAAAAATCCTTGGATGAAAACTTTTCTATGCGTTTTGCCAGAAAGCTTGATTTATTGAACAATGACATTCTTGTGAATTATTTACAGAACAGCTCGATTTCATTCAAAAATGTTACTATCTATCAAACATTCTGGAAAAACAACATTCAATTTTCAACATATGATCTTCTTTCAACGACGAAAAATTCTGACTCTTGTGTATTGTTTAAACACCACCAACGTGAATTAAATTGTGGTTTTATTTTTGCGATTATTCGCGAATCAGGCGATGCTTGTCGACTAATTATCCATACAGTGGACATTTCCAATCAAGACACTCTCAAATTAAAAAACAAATGGATAATCAATCCGTTCATATTCTGGGGGAAGTTGACAAATCCACATCGTTTGGTCACTATTGATGGACAAGATATCATACTTAAATTGGCATTTAACAAAATTGGTGACGTTTTTCATTTCTTTCGTTATCCTAACACTGTGGAAAGTACATGAAATGAATATTCTTCTACGTAGTATGGTGACAATCTATTAGGTCATCTTTTGGCTATATTAACATATCATTTTTGAAATAAAAGAACACTATTGCATTTACAGATAAAATAAAAGTTTGAAATTTGGTGTGAAGTTTATATCAACGTTGGTCTTAAACGCCAATTATCTGTATAATAACTCAAACCTGAGCAGAATATGCCATTCGTCTTTTTACGGGGGAAATTATTGCTGAAATAATTACAGATAGTTAATCTAGAATGTGTGTTAAAAAATGAACGCAAGTAATCAGGAATAACAGAACTATTTTATATGTTTACACGATTTGAGAAACATAAATAAGAGAAAATATCTGCGTTTAACCGGCCACAACGGTAATGTTATGTTGTTAGTCATGTGACATTTTTCTTATACGCTTGAACGCTCGAACATCAAGTATTCCGGTAGGTATGCACGCATGTTTTTAACAGAATCTAATATTCTGCAGATATAAGTCAAGCGGAAAATGCACGATGTTTGTACATACAAATTTAATTTACAAAAACACATAATGTTTTTACTTTTTCATCGTTGGCACGCTGAAATTTTCTAGAAAAGTATGAGAAAAAATTTATGAAAGATAATAAGCATAAAATATTGATTATTAATCGTAAACACGACCATTATTTATGGCAGAATATTCAACATCTATAACTATAGGATTAAACGCAAAATATCTCAGATTTCTGCACGTTTATAAGCTTTTGTAGAAAAGTAAACGATTAAACGACACAACGGAGTACTTTCTTCTAGTAAACACGTTTGTTTATCATACTTGAGGAAATTTCAAGCGTGTTCACAATCAGAAAGGAAGTTTCTTTGTGTTTACATGTCCATTTTATTCTGCACGCATGTAAACACTACAAAAGGAATCTTTTCCTGCGTTTACACGCGTTTTTCCGAAACCTTGACTGCTTGGGCAACAGTTACATCGCGGCATGTATGGAAGGTAAGTGACATATATATGCTACAAACACTATTACTAATATTACCACGTCTTCTTCTTCAATAGATACATTGATGATATATTTATGACAACAGATCAAAGCATCGAAGAGATGAATATTCAACTGGAGAAAGCAAACAACAAGGACATTAACATAAAAATTTCAACATCCATCAATACGTCAGTTCATTTCCTTGATGTTACAGTTATCAATGAAAGTGGACACTTACGCACATCTATTTATCATAAGCCAACAACGGAACCATATGTGTTACCATATACGTCTGATCATCCACGCCATATATATCGCAACATTCCATATGCAGCATTGTTACGTGCTGCTCGTATTTGTTCAAATGTCGAAGATTTCCACTCGGAATGTATACGAATAGATATGTCATTATTATTAAACAAATATCCAGCAGCTTTTATTACCGAACAATTTCAACGTTTCTTTCACTTGAACGATGCAATATCTGTATCATCACAATTGAACAAAGATGCTTACCAACGTCTACATAAGATATCATTGCACCAATCAACACGTCGTGAAAAGAAATTAAGAGAGGGTCCATGAGTCCATCGAGTATCGTTCTATATACCGAGGCACTCGTCAAAATTTTGTTTTGCGATTTGACAATCTCATTCCGTACAGCATCATTAGAAACTCTTAAATCCAAATTTTTAGCGCATTTGGTCGAACCAGTGAAGAGCTAGCTTAATTTTACTGTTGAAGACTCGAAAATGTACTTCCCAATTTGACTCAAAATTCTGTCCAATAGTTTGAGGCTTGTTTCGATAGGAAGAACTTATTGAAATTCTTAGTGTGACGCATCAAAAGATGCAGCGTTGAAAGCTGAACAAAACTGCATATTTGGATCTTCTTTTTCTATTGGCTCAAAAAAAAATTTTCAGTCAACATTGCTGAAGAGAGGCCATTTTTCGAGCAAAATAAAGTCGACTGTTTTTCACTGTATCAACTGTCATTCAGTCAAAATATGAATCCCCAAGCTGAATTTTTGATATGTTGTACATTTGATTCTCCTCTACAAAATGGTGTAAAAACAGCTGAAAAAAAATGGTATGCTTGGGGTGAAAAACGACTCACAATGTTGGTGAAATATTGCGAACTTTCACGAAATTCATTAACATTTTTATTTTTCCTGCAGAAAAACTGACCTAGTACTGCACGAGAAATTATGTGGAATATTATACTGAAGAACATATCTTTTCCCAGCGTGCATATACGTCTTGGACAAGGGAAGTTAATTATGTNCACCATTGGACTCAGAATTAAATTCTGCATCGAATACACTCGGTTTTATCGACCGGAATTCGTTTTCAGAAAATCCTTAGTTTGATGGTGCTAGCTCGATGGTGCTAGCTTCACACCGATGGAATCGGCTGATCTACCTTAACCATCAACGTTTAGATCGATTGGACAAAGCGAAAGAGAGAACTCTCTCTAAAAAAGAGAAATTTTAATTTTCGATTTTTCCTTCCTTCTTCAGCAGGCATCATGTACAATGCCGATATTGGCGAACGTGATTTAGTGCATTCAAAAATCGATTTTTGAAATAAAATATAGATATTTAGAAGCGGGATGAGTTGATTTATTGTTGTGATCAAGAGTTAGATCGCTGTGAAAATAAGAAGATTTTTGAGAAATGTTTAATACGTATTGCAAGTATGATGTTTTCGGGATGTTTTTCGCGCATGCATTTATTGAGTTTGTTTCTAATACTGGTTATAAGATGATGGGAAATTGGCAAAGTTTGAATTGAAGAAGTAGAAAGCGTATAAATGGGAGAATACGAAATGAGTGAAAGAAATTTTCGAAGTAGGAATGAAGGAAAAAGTGAAAAAGAAAAGTGGATAGTCTGATATAATTCAAAGTTTTTTGTGTAATGATCTTTTCTTCTTTGCAGTTGAATCGGTTCGGGCTGCGTTGATTATGGGAGACTGGGCGGTGTCGGCGTCATGATGGCCAGTGGGGATTGAGTTGTACCTATTTTGTTGCCAATAATTTTTGCCAGTTCAATAAGTTGATTTCGATCTGTGCTGTTCGTTTTGCGATTGCAATAGAATAGAAAAGCACAGTATAAAAATGCAATCGATCCAAGGATGATTGCAAGAACAACCATGTACAGAATCCAATTTTGTTGCATGTGTTTGAACCAGACTACTGGTGCGGTTAATAAATCACCGCCACTCTCGATTATCTTGCTTACAGTTTTACCAGCACTGTTCATCACTGCTTGAACTGGTGTGTTGTTGGCTTTGGCTGCACTATCCATAATATTGAACTTTACATCGGAAGCATCACCTGAAATACTCATGCTATACGTGTTCTTGGACTGGGAATTGCCGACGATAAATGCCATATTTGTGAGAAGATAGTGTAATTGAATTTTGTATGTGAATGTTCGAATGTGATATTTTTTATTATAAGAGAAATTGTGTTATACTTTTATATGGAAGTTGAAAAAAGAAAGATAAGAGAACACATCTTTCTAA